ATGGAGCATAATGTGATTACAGTAGAAAGCTGAGTCATACTAAACCTTTCATCTTAAAGGGAAAGCTCTGACCCTAACTGCACCTTTCCTGTTAAACAGTTAGCTTTTCTTTGGAAGAGATTAACACCTTTACTGTTTCAGATGTATAATAGTTAACCTTAAGTTGCTCTCAAACGTGTTTTTTTAATGTCAGGTATCCACCAGTTTGACAAACATCTTCTCTGATATAAATTCTAAATATAGTGATTAAGTCTAGTTATTCTGGTGGGTTTTTTTTTCCTCCAATTTGGTTCTGAAATTAAGTTTATAATTAATCTAGAAGTTTAATTTAAAAAACAAGTAGTTTTCATCATGGTCCAGTTTTTTTTTTTCTTTTAAGTTAAGATAAATCTAGATCAAATGAATTCAGCTAGGTTGTACAGGCAAGCTTATGTTTTTCTAATTTTAAGATGAAGAAATAACTTTGTCAATGTAAAATTACTCATAAACTTTATTGTATCTTTAGTGCAATTCTTATCACACCTGTCAAAGGACTGTGGATAAAAAATTGTCTTCTGGTGACAGCAGGTGTCTCTTGGTCATAACTTGTTCCTTTTTCTATAGTTTGCTTAACTTTTAGACTCATTGATGCTCATTGTAAAAAGAACCCATCACTTGTGAGACAAAATCTAAACTGCAACCCCTATAGTTGCTGTGAAGTGATGCATGTCTTAAAAGTTTGTTACACATACCTGCTTTACCAGTTTTTAAAGCGCCACATTATGTCTGATCAGTTTGCAAACCTAACTCCAAAAGGTTGCAGTTTAAAAGATGTGTCCAAACCTGTTACTGGAAATTATTGGACCATTCCTGGTAAAGATGGACAAAAGTAAATAAATCTATATTTTATTGCAGTGACATGATCACATTATTACTCCTGCAGCTGAATTGCTGCGTCGTCCAACTAGCATACACCTGGAATCTTTCTCAGTCGAAGCTATGCAAGCCCCCCCTGCAGAAAATCGTATCTGGTGCGATTGACTTCCAATGACCACTAAATGCCCGGACCTCATCCGATTTGATTTGTTCAGGGCTTTATCGGAGATCTGTGTCATGTTATATTGTTACACCAAGTAAACAAGAAGCAGTTGTATTTCGAAGTACCGGTACACCAATTTAGATTTTTTTCCCCCCACTTAAGGTCAATATTATTAAACTATAAATGGCATATTTTGCTTTTGAAAACTAGCGTCTATTTCAACCAACTCTGCTTGGATTTTAAATTGATTTAAAGGGAAACAAAATGGGAACTATAAAAAATGCTGTAAAACAATGTTTCATAACAAACAATGGTTATTTAACAGACTAAAAGTTTGCAGTCTCTATGAGACCTTTTGCTGGGCGGAGCAGTGCTATATCTGTAGTTGAGGCAGTCACAGTGGAAAGCGTAGACTGACTCTAACACCAAACAACATTGATATCAAAATAATTGAATAATATCATCTGATGAACAGCTTTTTTTATCTATACTTTCAATTTTGATAGCAGCGAAAATATCGCAATATATGGTGATATTGCAATGCAGTGATAATATCGTATGGTGACACAAGTATCAAGACTCATATCGTATCGCAGCACCCATGCCAATACTCACCCCTATCCATACCTGATATCCTGATATGAAGTTGATGTTTAAATGGTCTCTCTGTGCTTGTGTGAAGCTGAGAGATGCAATGACACAGGGTCTTGAATAATTGTGCACTTTACACTATTCAGGTAGTAATATTTTGCAAGGGTGTACATTTTTTTCAAAGTTCCAGTATTAGTTTATAGTTAAATTATTGCCATAAGTTAATAAAGACCAAACATTTCAATGACTTGTTATACATCTTTGCTGGGATTTCAATAAACATTGACTCCGCTTTGAAAATCACATTTTATTTTGTTTGTAAACCTCTATTAACTTTTTATGTTTCGTGTATCTATTGGTGTCTTAAATAGCAGTTGTGAGATACTTCTGTATTTTCTATCACCTCATAGTGCAATCGTACTTCAATTACTGTTAAACATCCGTATCAGTCGGAATGTAGTTGATTTTGCTTATGTTCTTCTGGGTGGTCTGCCATCAGGTATAAAAAAAGCTGCCCAACCTCAGCTGCTTCCTCTATTAATAACAGAAACACGGGTGGTGTGGTTGTGGACTTGGAGTAATCTAACCTCCTCAAGCTTAGTTGGTGTCACAGCTCGTTAGCGATGAGCTTAAAACTGCTAGAGACCGTGGTTATTTGCTTTAGCTGGAGGCTCGCCAAGCAGGAAACCTGAAGTGACTCAGTAAATCACCTGAACCAGCCAGGCCCAGCACCACCAATGAATCCAAACGGGAGTAAAGTTCATTTATATTGCATTTTAAAGATTACAGTTAGTGAATAAAACTACAATGTAAAATTAACATAAAAAATAATATTAATATAAAAAAAGAATCTTCAAGCGACACAGATCGAACAAATGAGATGTAATACAGGCAAACTTTTAATATTTATCCCAATGGAGGATTTGCTATATAAAACTGCACTGAGCGACAGAGTTTATTGAATTAATGAATGGAATAGATGTTAATACTTTTTCTTCAAACTTAAGTAATCTATGTAATTAGAAACCTAAATCATGATATTGAGGTAAACGTAAATGAATTTCAAGAAGGCTGAAGCAACATTCAGTTGTCAAATACAGCAACCAATCTTGCTCTTCTGTGTTTTGTGCTGATTTTATGATTGCAATCACGTTATGAGGGATTGTGATCGGAGTCTCATTATTTCTGTTTTAACTAATAAAATAAAAATGTAGAAAATAACTAATAAAATAAAATAAATTTTCCTCGGCAGGTCAATTAAACAAGAGAATTTCTGAAGCATCGGCATATAGATCTCAAGATATAAGGTAGTATTATAGTACTTGGTAATTTGGCCTTTTGGAGATACATAAGTTAAGAAGGGAAGTGGCTCCAGGACAGGGGCTTGAGGAACCCCTTACACCTGGCGTTACTGATGTTTACTGACACCAAAGATCTGTGCATAAAAGCACAAATATTTGAAAACACAACTAAAAAAAAATAACACCCACATGTCCATTATAATTTTTTTGTGTGTGTGTGTGATTGGAAAAAAATTTAACTTTTTGCGACTCCTCATTTTGGTTTGGAGTACTGCTTTAAGAGCTCATTGATCCCACATTGATCAACCTGCAGTTTCTGGGCAGCAATTTGATTTCTTTGTCAATATTTGCAGGACATCACTTGTAGTGTTCTGTCATATGAGACAAGATAGAAGGATCCAGATTAAAAAAGAGGAAAAAAGTTAACTTCCTCTGGAAATGTGTTAAGTGTTCATGAATGCAGAATCATGTTAAAGAAGTCTGTTATCAAAAGATAGAGGGATGCATAATAGAGTTAATGGAATAATCAATTACCACAGAGCTTTCTTAAGCACTTAATATTTCATGTCATTATCATTATGTGGAGTACCTTCTCTTTTTATTTTCAGTTTGGCTTTTACTAAGATGCAATGGGTGTCTTATGCTCATTCCTGCATCTCCAAAGCGGCTCTGTGCATTATCTTTTTTAAATGCACCTTTTCAAAGTGAAAATGGATGCACAAATCAGTTTACCCTGCCACTTCATAAATGCTAGGCAGTAAAATAAAACATTGCTCTTGCAAGCCTGTGAAAAGCAAAAATTGGGTTTTGTCATAGAATAGTCCACTTCTCTCTTTGTTTTCCTCTTGATTAAAAGAGAAATAAATCTCCCAAACTGGAAAAGTAGCAGTTTAACGCCTCACAGACTCTGTAAGATTATACAGCAAGAGGGAAAAAAAGCTAAGCAGCCTTTACTCTTCTCTTTCTCTTTGTCGTGGAAAATGTTCCCCACCAAAAGAAAACAGCACTGTTCTGCTGGAGGTAACTAAATCAGGAGTTTAATTTCTTTACGTTTTTCCCATCCACCAGGGCGGTTTGAAGAAACATGGTTCTGTGAGGCTGCAGAGGTGCTTCTTCTTAAAGCACATCTCAATAACGTTAAAAGACGTTATGTAACAGTTACTTTTAGTTTTTCTGCTTTTCACTTTGTACTTGTTGCATTGTATTTGTTCAAAATCATGATGTTTCGTAAAAACAGAAAAGCATATGACCCTCTAATAAACCTCTTTATCTAGAAAGTCATAATGCTGCTTTTAATTATATGGAAACATTTTGATATTAACGTTTTATTATTCTTAAGTACAAAATTATATTCAGAAATTAAAGCATACAAAAATGGAGGTATGCTGTTACTCATTGGGCAGTTTTGCACTGTGACCTGTATAGTATATAGTAATCAATGGGTCATTATTTAGGTTGGATAGAGTCTTACTTCTGGAAATTTCAAGAACCAATAAACTGTCCAACATTTGTAAAAACCACAGATGTGACCTCCCCTCCAGAGCAGAAAAATAAACAATTACACTGTTGTCTGATTCCCCAGAAAACAAGCACTGTTTTCAGAGGGGAAAACATAGTAACATTAGGATAAAAAAAATTAAATCAAAATTAAACGGGCTGTTTTTATTTAAATGTTTTAATGAACACAAAATGAAAGAAATTAATCAATTTTAATCTGTTAAACATTCTGTTTTTTGCAGTTTGTAGCCATTTTTTTCTCCCATTTTCACATCCAGAGTCTCCCTGTTTAATTTGACCATTTTAAATGCCACACTGACACCAAACCTCAACACAGTTCCTCCTGCAGATGATTTTACAAACCTTTTGTTCTCATTTTACTCGGTAGTCACCCACACTGCAATTTCTAAATGTAAACATACTTATCTGCAAGCTGCGGGTATGATTATAAGTAGAAGTAAAGTTTAATGATGCTGGATAAAGTTTTCACATCAGTTTGTCTCCCAGGGATTCTGACATTGAAACTTTAGATTCTGTAATTATTATAAAAATGTCATGTAGCTAATTAACTCTGATATTTTCTACCCTTTTAGAACTCAATGAATCTCCCTCCAGACAAGGCTCGACTGCTGCGACAGTACGACAATGAGAAGAAATGGGAACTGGTCTGCGATCAGGTGACTATATCCCCTCAGTATAACGCCATGCTAGATCTATACTGAGTGAAGTTAGATATTGCTCCATTTTGAAAAAACAAAGTGTATTGACTGTTTGACCTTTTATATGCAAATCTAATGAAACATAGAGCGCCTTGCATTGCTCATACTCTTTAAAGGTAAGAAAACGGATTGATTTACCTCAGTATTTATTAACCTTCTTGAATCTTATGCTTTTTTGATGTCTTAAAGGCGTATATATCTGTTCTAAAAACACTATAGTTCAAGCTTGGTTCAATAAATTGGACGTAAATGATTTGGTCTTGCCACAGATTTTCACATAGTTATAGGTATGGACTTTAAATTATGCCACTGTAATGTAAATATGGTTTTGTGTAAACACTTCCATTGTATCTTAGGCTGTATGTTGGGGACTGCATCGCACTGGAAGGATAACTGGATTTTCTTCATGCCCATTTTCCATGAAGTTACCCTAGCTGCTTCTATGATTAATGCTTCCCTTGTCTGGTCTGTCAGTTTAGGAATGCAACCATGTCTTGGTTGGCTTGGAGCTGTGTCATCCTTTTTTTCCATTTTCAGTCAATGCATTGAAGATGTGTGATTTTCAAAGCTTGGGCAGCTCGTACTATGGGTCAACTACCTGGAGCAGGCATTTAACCCTATAATGCCAAATGTATCGTATTTGATACATACGGTTTCTGAAATGTTTTGCATCTGACACCTTTCGCATAATTTAATGGTAAAAACTTTGCTTAAAATCCTATTGTACACAATCAGATATACCTGATAACAGCCAGTAGAAGACCACACAAAAAATAATCTTGACTTATCACATAGTAATAAATTATTAATATCAAAAATGTATTTCTGTTTTTTTCTTTTTACATATTTTGTTAAAAGGCCAAATAAGGAATAAAAAAAAAAAAAAAAAAGTTATTTTCTGTTTTGTTTTATTCTTGGATCGGGCTTTAAAGGGTTAAACCCCCCATTTTCAACTCTTTTGAAAGGAACCATATCCTTTGCCAGATAAAAAGTAACTGCTTTCTTTAACCTCTTTCCACCTCTTGCTTGTCTTCTCAGACAGAGTGTCTTTATCAAATGCGTGTGTTAATGTTGTCTGTTTGGATCAAGCGACCTGTTGCCCCTAGACATGCAAACCGTGACAGAGCAAACTTAGCAACTTTACTTTTGTTTGTGCCTTGTCATTTGGGGACAAGCCAAGCCAGTTCCACATAATGGAAGTAAAGTTTTTTCTTAGTGACCAACTGCTCTGTTTGGTTCTCTGCCATGGCTCTACATGCGGCTGCCGCTGCACACATAAATAAGGAACATAATGGAGTTAATGGAAGGTGCATCACTACAGGTTATTGGCTATGATTGGTCGCTCAGGTAGACTACATAAAGGTGACCCTACTAGATTTATGAACTAAGTGACTTATTAGCAGTTGGTTGCACTGGGTTTCATGTAGGAAAGGCATGCCAATAATTTGGTGCTTGAGGGCCTCTGTCCTTCAGGTTTTAGAGGTTTCCCTTTCTTAGCACAACTGATTCTGATGAATTGCAAATCAACAACAGCCTGTGAGTCATCTATCAATGAAAATCAGCTGTGCTGGAGCAGAGAAATGTCTAAAAACCACAGGACAGCAGCCCTTCAGGACTGACTTTGGCACACTGCATGCCTTGATAATCAATTCAGATTTTTAGGTGAAATCCGATTTCTTTTTGCGTTGCTGTTCACATTTCCAAATGTATGCGACTTGTATTTGATCTCCTGTGTTAACTGCATTGATACAACGCAAGTGTCCGACATGCGTAGTAGAGGACGCAATGACATCACAAGCCAGTTTGCTCTGTGTTTACGGAAGTAAACGTGGATGGTAGTGCCGGAGCGAATTTGGCGACCTTTCTCAACCATAAAAACACAATCATTTCAAGATGATTAAACCCAAATACTGCTCTCCATATCATCATCTGCAATGATTGTTGTTTTTCTTGCCACTTCTATATAGCAAGACACAGAATAGAGAACTTTGTCAGGTATTAATGGCGTTCAGGTTGGATGAATGCGACCTGGCCGTTCACACACAGGTCCCATTTGAAAAGATCAGATTTGTATCAGATTCAGGACCACATAGCCAAGTGGCCTGGGTCGCATTGGAAAAAATCGGATCTTTGTTGTTCAGACTGCCATGAAAAGATCAGATACAGGTTGCATATGGGCCAAAAAATCGGATTTGGGTCACTTCAGGCTGCAGTGTGAACGTAGGCTTTGGGGATGCCTTATTTAGGAGCATCAGTAAAAGCGGATGGAGACAAATGCACGCTTACTGATTTTTATTTGTAAAAGAGTCCAAAAACTACTCATCCTTTTTTCAAGGGGACACATTCTCTACCATCCTGCTTTCACCCCACAGGCCCCTCCTTATGCCCACAGATTGCCTTCGCGTTCTTGGTCAAGTGAGTTAAGTGGCACTGTAGGGTGCAGAGATCAGTTAGCCAGTTAAAAAAACTTGTAGCCTGTTATTGGTGTCAGTTCTGCGTGTAGGAAATAACAGAGTGCACAGACTGAGCAGTGAACTGCGGTCTGACAGCAGCTGTTGTGCCAGAGTTTTTCTGCCTCCTCGAGCAACCATGAAAAGGACAGACCAGATCAAAACCTCCCTCCCACTGAAACTGTGTTGCAAGTTGGTGACCCTAAAGAGAACTGGACCACTGACTGGCAGAGATTCACTCAGCATGAGGGCTAAACTTTTCAGAAACCGTTCAGGCTGAAAGTAAAGTTGTTTTTTTTAAGTGCTGGTGAAGGAGTTTATAAGTTAAATCTATAAGGAGGTTTGCACCTTTTGAAGAGAGGGCTTTCTATTGTTGCTAAGCTAATGTTTGAAGTTCTGCTAATTGATGTTACTTTCTCTACCAGCCTATATTTGCACCAGCTTACCCAGCTCTGGGAATAAGTTGTACTGTGTCCATAGTTACGGTAAGAGTAACTATGCAACGGTAACAGAGCGATCCGAAACAAAAGCAGGACCCTTTTATTTCAGCCATCTCCCCTTAGCTTGATGTTTTCAGATATTGCTGCAAGTATTTGGACTTTTTCATTTAGAAAGTCACAGTGAAGTCAACAGCCAGATCCAGTTACTTTGACATTTTCCTGCTAATGAGGCATTTTCCAACCAGTTTCACACCTCTGCAGTCATGCCAAGTTCTTTACATCCAAAGGTTTAACCTCAATGTGTAAACAATTGGTTGGCCTCTTTGATTTGAACCCTCTCTAAAGATACAGGAAGGAAAAAAAGACAATATATGTTAAACCTGCTGTCCATTTATTTGTTATATATTTTTTTAATGTTTATTAAAAGATTGCTCTGGTAACAAATCTGCTAACTTCTTGGAAATGGGTCAATTTTTAGTTTTTTTACAGTTCAGCATGGCTGAGTCGTGGTGCCTGTCCATTATTGTCCTCTAAAAAGGAGCAAGTCCCTTTCCTCGTCTTGTCTTTCCTGTTTTTCTTGCAGAGACTATCTGGCTTCGAGAAATGTAGTGATGCTGATCTCATCTTACTATTTGCGTACGGAGGGTAGAAACGCCTGTTTCTGGACATGTTCTTCAGCAAACTTAGTCATGTTTGCAAGGAGGCATGTGAAGCAACACTTTGTGTTCAACTGGGAATTAGGTCACGGTTGCAGGACCATGTAAACCAGTGGCTCTCCAACCTTTTACAAGAACAAGCTCAGTAAATACTCAGGTTCTAATGTTTCTTCAGAGTTAGACTTCTTACAGTTGGTTGTATTTGTTTGTTGTTGTTTTTTAACAAATACAAATGGATCAATTACAAAACCTGTCCTCAAAATCCTGTATAGCCTGCATGTTTAAAACACAGTGATATTTGCAAGGAAAAACAGCTTAATTGCAAACCTTCACACACGTATCGCTGTACAACCACTGTTTTGAATGTGTTCCTATAGTGTTTGAATACAGAGGATGCAATGGGTTCTTATTGAGAGTTGAAGCCTAGTGGTTAGAAAGCAGGGCTTTTGCATCCTGGAGAGGTCAAAAGGTCGCTGCTTTAAACCTTAGAGTCCTATTCTGGCTCCCTAAATAAGACCCTTAACTTCTCTGTTTAAAAGCTGCTCTCTGCTGGTTAAATTCAGAAGACACATTTTTTTTGTCAAACGTAATTGCAAATCCTGTACTAACCTACTGGTTTATATTTAGAGCACTATGGTAGGATCTTAAAACCTGGTTGAAGTTGGGATATTTTCGAGCAATCGTTTATGTTTTAAGGTTAAGTTAAAATGTTGAAATCAGGTTAACTATTTCCTGCAGTAGGTTTTTTCATGTAGAAATCAACATTAGCAGCATTAATATTAACTGCTAGCTGCTGACAGAAGTAAACGACTATAATCTCATAGGCGTTGAGCTAGTTTGTCGTTTATATTGACTTGGATCTTTTTTCTTGTCAGTAAGTACATTGTGGTGTGCTTTATTTGCCAGTCACATGTCTGGTTTTATACTATGAATTTGTCCTGTGATAGATAATTCAAGGGTCTTTCTGAGGCTGAAACTTTTAATCGGATTTATCATGATTAAATCAATTACTGTGATAGTTGTCAACTAATTTAGTAATTGATTAATAGTTATTTTGAGTAAAGAGACTCTAAAACATGCCTTTAGCTGACAGAGCAACCCACTTAGAGCAGTAATAATAGCATTTAAAAAAAACTTCAACATTTTGCATTTAACCTCTTAATATCCACCTCATTTTGGGAAATGCTCGCCTACTTTGCATACCCAAATGGGAAAGCAAATAACCTAGGAACTGTAAGCCCTAATTACATGTGTGAAACGTTATTTGAAAGCTAACACCTTCTAGTTTCTGAATATGTACATGGAAATTGGTTGAGTAAACACCCAAGCTGCATTAAGCCCAAGCTACATCAGTTCAAACATGACTCAAAGTTGTTTTTTTTATTCTCGAAAATAATACGTCTTTTTTAATTCAGTTATAAAGACATGCTTGCTTGTTGTGGCTGCTTTGTCATGGTACATTTTGACATAATGGTATATCTGTGTTAATTGTGCTGTGGTGCTAGCTATGTCCATAATATGAACTAGGTGGTTGAATTGTGGTGAATCTAAGCTTTCCAATGATGTCTAACATGTCTATTTTGGTAAACATTTTACCAGTGTAATTTTCATGCATTCTGAGTTACAGCGACCTGCTGGGTTTTGATAGAAGATTAAACAAAAAAAAAAAAAAGTTTCACCTGGTTCAATTTCAAAGAGTCGTCTTTAAAGAACCTTTTTGCTATTCGATTATTAATTGAAAAAATAACCGACAGATTAATCGATTTGCAAAATAAGCCTTAATTGCTGCCCTGGTTCTTTTTTTTTTCTATTTAAACCGCTGCTAAACGTTTAAAGAACCACACAAACTTCTTTAACTTTCAGAAAACACAAAAAGAGTTAAATCTTAGATAACTGCTCCATTCTGGGACTGAAAGTATGATGGAAACAGTCATATGAGGGTTTGTCTGCCCTTCTGAATGGAGGAACTGTTTAGGTTGGTTTTTTAAAGTGGAAGATATTCTCAAGTTCCCATCTGAAGGATGGGTACTGTGTGTGAGTTAAAATTTCCTACAAACGAGGGTGTGGATGCATTTTTGGTTTGTTTGCGTGGCCATCTGAATCATCACATTCACAGCAGAAATCTAGAAGTGTTTCTTTAGGTTTCTGTTCTCCCCTCATCATTTCCCCTCTCTTATGTTCTTTTCTTCTTTCAACAGGAGCGATTCCAAGTAAAGAACCCGCCTCACACGTATCTCCAAAAGCTGAGGAGCTATCTAGACCCTGCAGTCACACGAAAGGTGAGAGCTCAATCCAGCATGCTTTCCTGTTCCGGTGGGCTGGCAGCTTCCACCTCTGCTTCCCCACAGCCTGCTAACCTTCTATCTTTTGCTCAGGATATCCTTCCAGCTGAGGAAAGATTGCACTCAGGAGTTCCCTGGGAGAAGGCTCGGGAACTCGAGTTGCAAAACACTGCAGATTAGTGAGACAACTGTTTATCAGGAACGCCCTGGCTGGAGAAACCTCTGTCCAGTCTTCATCTTTGTGTATAAAGAACGAGCAAGAGAATGCAAGTCCGACTTATTCCAGCATTGATTATTCCTCACAGGTTTCCAGGAACTTTAAATAAATAATCAAGGCTGCCTTAACTATACGATTTAAATGTAATGTTGCAGCCAGCTTTGTCTGTTTTCCTTGGCTGCATATAAGGGAGCAGAGGGAAAAGGGAGGTGAGGGAGGAGCTTCATGTGAGCAAGTAACAGCCAAACTTCTCAGGATTTGCCAAAATTAAGTCTTCTTTGGCCTTGGATGTGCAAGCTGTAGAGAGGAGCGCCAGGAGACTTGCCTCTGTGATAAACAAATTAAGAAACACCTACTGCCAAAATGAGAACAAATCACTGAATAATTCAATCTGAAGCTGCTGTGGTTGAAACTTTCAGCCACATTAAGATGACTAGAGCTGCATGAAATAAGTAAAGCAAGCTGAAACCATGATTATGGTTGTAAAAAAAAAGAGGGAAACAGCTGACTTTTAATGGTGCATGTTTGAAAGCGTCTCTGACGTGGGAAAATTTGGAGTTTCGACAAAAAGAATTACTCACAGAAAAAGAAAAATATACCAACAAATGATTAGTAACATATGTCCAAAAATTCTCTTCCACAATCTTAGTTTTAAAATAACCATAATACTTTTTAACCCCGCAGCGTTTTGTGCATAACAGATCGAGTTTAGGCTGCTGTTGCCATAGCTGCTGTGTGAGCAGGCGATTTGATAAAAACCAGAATTGTTAGCAGAGTGTCTCATGTAGAAGTAGACGATATAGACCCTGCAGTGTGGAGGTTAAGTCATAGTTTCTGCCAGACTAAAGATAAAAAAAATTGGAGTGTTTCAGCTTATTCTGATCTCCTGTTTTTGTTAAGTTTTTTTTTTACCTGTGAAAACCAATTTCAGTTCATTTATTCCACATTGATAAAATGGTAAAACCTTACTGGACTGTATCCATTAAACCTTCCTGTTAGTTGCTGAAAATCTTACTCTCTTGTTCTCTTTGCGGCTTGAATAATCCCCAGACATTTTGGATTCCTGTAAAAACGATTTGCAATTTACTAGTTCTAAAGCATCTATTTGATTCCTCTGGTTTGATTTAAAACACCTCACTGAAGGTGGAGCTGGTTTACTCCGAGTCAACTTCAACGTTGGAACATGTTGCAATAATAACCTGTTGAAACTAATGACCTGCAGGATGTTCATCACTGAATTAAATGCCAAAGAGTTTCTTAAGTTTTTTATTTTTTTTATCAAAAACTCATGCAATAGGAGCCCTTAACAAACACTGAGTGTATTTCTTACACCAATAATAGACATACTGTATTTGTCCTTTTATAACCATTTCTGTTTGGATCTTGCTTAACTCTGCCAAGCTGTGCTATTCAGCTCATTAGCTGTAATCTATAATTAGCCAAACTAGTAGATGTAAACGCTTTAAGTCAATCATTCTGTATTTATATTGTATCTACACGAGCTCCTGTTCACCTGTGTTACTGAAATAAATGAACTGTTCAATGTCACTAAATGCAAAAGAACATAGGCACTAATTTAAAAGCTTTTTAACTGATTATATTCGCTCTTAAACTCTGTAGTTCAAAAATGAGCTTGAGATGTTTCTATTGGGGTGAAGTGTCATCTCTCAGCTCCAACTTTTTTATTTCAGTGATAGATTAAAGCAGGTTTATGATCCTTTGATGTGCTGGCTATTTTCCAGCATGTTAAACTGTCCCTTGAATTAATTTACCTGTTTGAAAGTTTTTATTAAAAGTAATCATTTAATGTTGTCATTGGTAATCATTCAGATGAGCAGATCCTCCATTTTAGCCATTATCTCCACTAAATTAATCAAATACATGGTTTTGATTTATGGCACAGTCTATAAAGGATTTGTTTTGAATGTCACTTCAAGTCTTGTCCACCTTGTTTTTTTTAGCTTTGGTAGCCACATTTTTTTCTGTGTAAAATCTGTCTGACATTAGACTGCTGCCTTTTCTTTGCCTTGATTGAAAGCTTGAAGTAGACTGGCACACAGGAATGGGACTGAGGCCAGCGGAGCAACAGGGTGGGAGGGAAGGAGAGGTGCTGAATTAAAAAGTTTATCAAGGAAGGAGGGGTGAGAGATGGACGGACGGCAGCAGGGACAAAAAAAAAAAACGAAGCACAAGAGGGCATGGAGGAAGAGAAAGAGTTATGAGCTTCTTTCTACATTCCTGCTCCATCCCCCTTTTCTTCTAACTCAAACAATTGCCACTTTGTGCCACTGCAGAGAGCTGGAGGTCATTGCCTCTGCTTTCCATAGGCAGGCTCCCTTGCATTCCTCGGAGCAGCTCCCAGCCAATAGGCAGCCAAGGAGGAAGAGCAGCGCTCCGGCTAGTCCCCAAGAATGCATCAGCCGTTGATTTGCTTCCAGAGCGGCCCCTCCTGTGCTAACACCTCCTCAAACCTCACTTTTCTACTCTCTCCTCCTTTACATTCTCACTGCTGCCTCCTCTTCATCACTCCCTCCCTTCCACCCCCTCTTCCCCCCGTGTCTTCCTGCTCTCTGTGATGCAGCTGGTAGCACTTAAAGTTGTGGGGTGTTCGGTGGGGGCTCAGGGAGTCTGCGCAGTACCCCAAAAAGGCACTCTTTGCTTTCCACTAGCTTTGTGATAGAAACGACTCCTCCCCAATAAAAAAAAAAAAAAAAAACTGTTTCTCATCTCCTCATTTTCCAAATGCTCGCCGCCCTGTCTCAGAGTTGTCCACTTGAGAGATCAGCTGTGGGAACAGCTCTCTTCTGAGGACATTAATAACAGGCTGACACTGGCCTGGGCTCACTTCCCTCCCAGATAAATAAAAAAAAAAGCACCATGGAAAATTATTGGAGGATTTGTCTCTTTTTCTCTTGTCTTTTCACACTTCTTATAGCACCATTTTAACCTTCTCCAGCTTCTCCAGAGCTCTACATCCTGTTGATTATCCCCCAATTCACCAGCATTTTCTTTACGTTATCTGCACCCATCGATCCGAACCCCAATATCTTACCTTCTCCTGAACCAATTGCATCATTAAATGTCAGTGATAATTTATGTAAGCATGTCTATAAAGGGAAAAGCTAATTATGAGACGTTTGTGTAAAAAGCGAAGTTCATTGTAGGTTCCTGCTCTCCTATATGAAACGGTTTCAGTCCCTCTCATCAGGGGACTTTCCCCTCCCCATTATGCTACAGCCCATTTGATCGCCACGGGTCATTCGCTCTGCTTGTTTTGTTCTTGTGGTTGTATAACAGCCTAAACAGCCTCTTGTTTACAGTTTTGAAAATAACTCTCTAGCTAGAATGAAAAGAAAACACAGAGGAACCCCCCCTCCTTCACATTTGGCACTCAGTTTTTTTTTTTCCCTGTCTCGATCAGGATCTGCGTTGCACCATTAGATGTCTGCAGGTTTTTATAGCAGCTGTAGCCTCAGTAACACTCCCAGGAATCTCTCTGTGTTTATATAGCTGCTGAGTATCCTAACGCTATTTAAAGTCACAATCCACTGCTCTTAGATAACAAGGTTGGACTTATTTAATGTACTTACAGAGGCTCCTGTATTGTGATGCAAAAAATAGACCTTGAAAAGCGATATGCTAAATTCAATAATGCTTAGCTGGCCTATATTCTAAAAAATAGGACTTAAAGTAGGACTTAAAAACCTGAAACATCCTGTGCATCCTTAAACTAATAGTTTCCTAAAGCATCTTTTTAATTCTGTATCAGCTTCAATATAAATCAATTATAGGAAATGTAATTTATTATAAATTAATTTTAATAATTCAAATTAAACCCTTTTTGGATATAGTAATAGATTATTAAAAAATATGTTTTTATAATAGCATCAGTCAGAAGAAGGGTGCAAAAAAATCCACATCAGAAGTCAAGAGTTTGAGGTTAAAAAAGGGACAGCAGTGACAAGCCAGATCTGTAAGAGTCGTCCAAAAGGATGAAAAGAAAAGACTGAATTTTGTCAAATAGGCCACCAAGAGCCTGGCGCCCTTCTTCAAAGTACTGATGATATTCTACAGGGACGTCTTGTCTTCTCCTCTGACTGCTTTTTCTATAATGTTTCATAATTTTAATGAATCAAACATGAAATTTCGAGCCAAACTTTCAAAAAGGTTCTTTCAGCACAACAGGGTTGTCTGTACTCAAGGGTTTGACTGTATGAGTTGTAAAATATAGGGGGAAAGACGGGGACTGCAGTTTTTTTCCAGTGAGTCAGCTCTTCATCTTTAATAGCCTAGTTAATAGTAATGTTTCTAAGTTTAAACTCCCTCTGCATGCTCACTTCCACACATTTGCTTTTTTGGACTTTTTCTTGAAGAAAAAAGGCATCCCTCATCAATGTTCCTACCACATGTTGATTTATTGGGGTCTGATGAAACTTAACCTCCTCCCAATTTTATTTTCCTTCCCAGAAATTCAGACGGAGGGTACAGGAGTCCACCCAAGTCCTGAGAGAACTGGAAATTTCGTTGCGGACCAATCATATAGGGTAAGTCCCAGGCTGTGCTGAAGCATGTGTAGTGTTACATGTCCTCCCCCTGATTATGTTTGATTTTCAAAAAGGGGGAATGGTTTGATATTCCAGACACTCTGAAATGCAGACGTCGTTATAAAGCCCCCCTCCTCTTACCATTCCTATCTCTGCTGTGACCTAGTATTACACCAAAAGCCATGTGGTGGTGAAGAAAAGATGAATTGGTGGATTGTTTCAGAGCAGCTGACACATGAGCAGCCTCTGGAAGGAAAGCACATTTTTCTTGTGCAGTAGTTTGGCTGTGCAGCTTCAGTGTTTCATTGCACAGTCATAAAGATGGAATATTAATGTGGATATTATAGCACAGATGAGGATTTCACAACGGATGAAACACTGGTGCATTCATCTGCTATGTCAGGTATTCTGACATGACAGGTCTAAACCTGTGGCAGCAGATACAGATTCAGAGCTGTACAGTCAGCCTGGAGCGCAGATCTATATCTCAAATCTCAGTGTTTCTTCATTCTTTTGGTCACACATCAGCATCTCTAAGGGCTGCGTACGTCGCATTACTAACGCTGGGAAATGTTGGATCCAAATTCCAATTGTGATACTGACGTAGAGACGGACGCTCTCTACGTCAGTGTTATAAAGTGATGCTTGGAAGTTCCTACTAAATCTGAAGAAGTCCTCATTTTGATTTTAGGTTTTTAGAGTCTGAACGGGTATGCAAAAAGAAAAAAAGAGAAGAAATGTTGAAATGTGTCTCATTTTTTTTTTTACCTTTTTATTTTAATTCTGTCTTTATTTAATACTCCCCCCTTTTCTCATTTCTTTCCTTCATCCCTCCATTATGTTATTTCTTCTTTTGTTGTTCCCCATGTCTTCCTCCTACCATCTTTCCTCCCCTGCTTCTGTACTTCCACGTTTCCTTTGGTTCCTCTTTCCTTCTTGTTTAGTTTTTCCATTTTACCTTTGTTGTTTAATTTATCTACATGTGTTATCTACCGGTACATGTGTTACATTTCGTGTTATACCTCTCTGTATTAAATCCTTTGCTTTTATGCGATATAGTCATTTTACCCTTGTGGACTGCCCTCTTTTTTTTTTTTTTTTTCTTCTTTAAATCCTTCAGTGTACTTTTTCCTGTCTTAGTCTTTACTTCTTAACTATTTATCTTTTAATTTAAGCATTAGAGAGAAATTATGGAGTCTTCCAATGATGCTGCCTCCTGTGGCCAAAAGACAGAATTGCAGCAGTCTTCTGCCTGTTCTCGTAGCTCACGCTCGTATTTAACATGTTTTTTTTTTTTTTTCTACTTTTCACCTTGCGTCCAGTTGGCATCGTAGTCTGAGTTGAGCTGGATGGCTGTCGCTTCTGCTAGGAGGGACGGATTAAACATAGGTGTGCTTGAAGTCACATCCCCCAATTTGACCCGAACTTAATTCAAGAAAATAGGCTACAGGCTCACACTTTAGGTGCATCTGTGCTGAACTACTCAGGTGTCAGTCTGCTCAAACTGCGTTTTAGTCATGAAGGGTGAAATGAAAAGGCTTTGGTAGAGATATTTTCAGTAAAAAACTTACAAAATGTCTCTTTAAGAGTTGCTTACTCTGAGAAGTTGAAGCTTGAAGACATTTTTGCATGAAACGGTGTAGGAACCCTTTATCCTGGGTGAAAATGAATGATCTTAGCAACTGCAGCTTCACCCAAACAAACACAACCAGAAAAGAAAGTAAAAGTTAAAATGCACCTTTGAAATGTTTCTTAAATGTGTCCAGATAAGGCAGCAAGCTGATCTATAGAATTCTCTCTGTCACAACATGAAAGTCCTTTTACCCACATGTTGATTGCTTTAAAGATTATATTCATTATTTTTCAGGCTTTATATATGTGGGCAGTTTCTAACTTCAATGTTCATTAAGAATGAAGCAAAAAATTATTCTTGACCATTGATATTTCAATTAGCCACTTTTATCAGAAACCTGCAGTTTTCAGAAACTGACGGCTTCAAAATGTTGACGACAGAAGAAAAGTTGTAAAGCAGATTGGCATAAAAGTCCCTCCATAATTTTCTTTTGCTAGTGAATCACCGGGTGTACTGATGGCTTTTCCATTTTGGCTTCATCTTTGCTTTATAAATATTGTGTCTAATCGGATCTTTGTTTTTGGAGACTTGAAATAAGGTTTTAGAAATTGTATAACCCGGCAAAGTCCAGATGTGGATTTAAAGTAGGCGGCAGCAGCAGATCATGAGATTCTGCCAAAGGATGAAGGATGCAGCCAAGAGAGCATATATTGGCCAGAGACTATTGTAACAGCAGAAACACTCTTATGTCTAAACTGTCTCTTAAACTCTGTTTTTCTCCACTTCTTCCTCCCACACACGTGTATATACTTCAATTTGTCAGTTTCACCCACACTCTGAGATTATCTTATATCTCTGACAGCAGCGTCTCTTGCACTCCTACAGACTGTTTACATTCTGATTCTGCTATTTAAACCTAAACAGAAAAAAAAAACAACTCCAGATCATGCTTACATTGCACAGCAACTGAATCGCTGTTGAGGAAAATAACTTCCTCAGTCTATAAACACCAGATTACATGAATTTGGTCTCTGTGAGACAAACGACATGTTCATAAAGGTGGCTACTGATTGAACCGGAGCAACAATGTCACCCACTGAGACATTGAATAATTGCTGCTTCTTTTCAGAGGTGAAATGGAACATCTGATCAATCATGCTGCTTATAAAAGGGAGATTGTCTGTGAGTGTGCACTGCTGATGCAAAAACCCGGGCTCATTGCCTGCCTGTCTGCTCGCGTCTGACATGTTGCACTGTGGTCACCAACATGTGGAGAATAGGAGGATTGTCAGCTTCTTGGGGTAATGACCAACATATGGGCAATGAAGCCTCTCATCTAGTCTGTTTTGAGACAACGGCCCTGCCTGGCACCGATTTACTGGACACTCATACGAGATTATCAGCTCCATATAGTAACACCACAGGGAAGACTATCAAGATGGACCTTTACAGGATTTTAACACGTCTTTATGAATACAGCCCAACTTTAAAGCAGTTGTGTCTATAATGATAAAAAAAGGTTGCTTCTGTGCAACATTGTGTTGTTAAATAGATATTCAGCTTTAACACTGGCAACAAGATTTTGGCAAATCTTAGGTTTTTGTTTTTTTGATAAAACAATGGAGAGCAGTAGAAGTTATCGATTTTAACCAATCTGGCTTTAAATTAAGGCAGACTCAAAAGAAAAGCTCAAAGGACTTTCTGAATTTTTACCTGTTTAAGAAAATGGCAATTTGAAGAAAAATTTCCTTTTTTCTAAGGCTGCAACTAGTGATTATTTTGCAAATCGATCTGTTAATTTTTTTCTATTAATCGATTAATAATCAGCTAACCCTAACCCTAATAGTGAAAGGTTCCTTAATGAAGATTTTTTTTTTACAAAACCAAACCAGGTGAAAGTTAAAGTTTTCTACTTCTGGATAGGTACATATTGACAGATGAAAAATCTTTTTTTTAAATCTCTAATTTATTTTGGTAATTTTACTGCTCTAAGTGGGTTATTCTGTCTGCTAAAGGCATGTTTTATAGTCTCTATACTTTGTTTATGATTTATTGATTACTAAATTAGTTGACGATTATTTCAATTATGGTTTAACCTGATTAATTGTTTCAGTCCTAATTTTTTACTATTTGATCTATTGATGTTAAATATAACGATGTAATGTTATAGATGGACTGCAGTTTGTGGATGCCAAGTGGTACGACTGGTAACAGTTCAAGTGGGAAGAATTAATCTGTAGTTCAGGTAAAAAGGAGAAGAAGCAAAAACTGAAGGTTTTATTTGGCCCGTACTAAAAATAAAAGCCTGTGGAGTACTTCATGAATGGCCCGATTTAGCCTTTTAAAGAAGATTTGAAAAAAAGCAATCTAGCATGCTTTAGATTTCCCATGCCAAAGTAAGAACCTACTTTGAGTTTGTACGAGAAACAGGAACAAAGGAAGGCCGAATCAGTAATAGTGCATTATTTAGGCATGTGTGGATGTTTCTGTTTAAATGATCGCTTTCACGGAAGATTAATTCCCACTCAATGCTTTAAATTCTTTCATGGATCTTTACCTTTACACGTCTTTGACAAACAATAACAACATGAGATTATCGTTTGATTTCAAAATGATTTCATTTCGAATTTTTATAAATGATGGGATTTATTGTTGAATATGACCAAGGCCGCCAAACTCTACAAGTACAAAAAAAAACTTGATAAAGTTATAAATGCAGCAGCAGTCGGCCCTAGCTTTTGATAAACTGAAAAACATAATGTTTTTGGCATTTACTTTATCATATTCAGTTACTTTAACACAATTGTTTTATGTCCTACTGTGCTAAAATGAAACAATTCTGTTAAAGTAACTGAATATGATAAAGTAAACGCCAAAAACGGTTAAATTATTTTTTCAGTGCATACATTGAATGCATCATGACTAAGGCCTCAACAGGTTCATACAAAAATCAAACAATCTTCATCAAAAAAACCATCAGTGTTGTTCTTACACGTATTGGGTATCAGTTAAAATCAGAACTTGCAGCTCAGAACCCATATAAAGCCAGAACTGTTGGCTAGAGGAATTTCTGATGAGGGCCTTTCCTTTTTTTTTTTTTTTTAAAAAAGGTACTTTTAAAGTGTTATACAATAAAATTATTAATTGTTATATCCCTAGAATCATTATCTTATTCTGTTTTCCTGCAGTGTTACAAAACTTTTCTTTCAACATTTAGTTGATTAGTGAAAACATCAATTTTGCAATAACCATGAATGTTTGTTTGTTTTCAGATGGGTGAGGGAGTTTTTGAATGAAGAGAACAAGGGTCTCGATGTGCTGGTGGAGTACCTTTCTTTCGCACAGTATGCCGTCACGTAAGTCCTTACATCACACTCTTAAGGGCCACATTTTTTATTATTTTTTTTAAACAACGCTGCCATTCTGCACATACGCTGATGCCTCTCCACTCAGCGCCAGCTCCACCGTCTCTGCTGTCAGAAACACTGAGTCACGCACTGACTGTCGCTGGTAAATTGTGTGTTAGAGCAGCCGTATGCTGCTATTCATGAACTGACTGGGTGATTATTAGTCACTCTGTGCGGGGCCCAGTAGGCTTTTGTTTAATTTTTTATATTTAACAGCTCACTTAAATGTGCTATTGTGGTCTGTTGGCATTATAGATTGTTGGCTGCAATATCACATTTACCAAGCACCAGGCAGCACATGAAGGTTATGGAACAGGCTGGTATAAAATGCCTCAGCAGCTACAAGCAGCAACATAACTTTTTCTTTAATATAACTCTATATGTTTGAATGGGAAAAGCTACAGTGGCTGAGGTCATTAAATGCTACATTGAAGGCTGGAGTTTGACTTATCATTGGGTGCTTTTACACCAAGGCGAAGGCTGCTATTACAATTAATGGGTTCTGTTCGATGTTAAAGCTCAGTACCATGTATTTAAGATCTGAAGTTTAGGCGCTTTTATTTCTAGTTTCTGTGTAACAAAACATTTTAAGTTTTTAAAAAGAAAAGAAAAAAACATGAAGAATTATTTGTGAGCTAGACCAGGGGTCTGAAGCGGGGACCCCATTATTATATATATTGTATAAAAGTGTGTTTATTATATATTGGTCTTATAATCACTCTATTACAGATGGAGTCCTGTAACAAAAGTAATTTCGCCCTGGCAATATTTAAGTATTTCTGATTCTGATTCCTGGTTGATGGGACAGGTGTTGTGAATGCCTCTGCCTCCATTTATCTGTTTACTACATTGTGTTGAATTCATCTTAATGTGGATTTAAAGACATTTCAATTAGTGGAAAAAATTGCAGGGGGGTCAAATCAACCAAAACTTTCGCGACCCCTATGCAGTACCTCTATGGACCCCCTAGGGGTCACGGACCACCTGTTGAAGGCCATCGAGCCAGAGAGTGTGCTATTTATTGTGAGCTGAGTCATTTCTATAAGAAGAGCCAAATTTCCCCTCTTCACAGTGTAGCAAAAGCAGCAAGATGCAATGCGACACTAGAGCAACATATTTGAGTAGAAGAAGACGAGCTAAAAACATAGTAGAGGAAGAAATCTGAAGTCAAGAGAGTTTGAATATGACTGTCTGGGTTACGTAGGATAATAAAGCAAAGCGAGCTACAACCACATGAAGACCATCATGGCAACACAGACCTTCATGGACAGGCTTTCTTCTTCCTGTCCTTTTTCTTCTCGATCAGTGCGTGAATAGAGCAGTTCTGCCCCTGACGCAATCCGTTGCAACTACATGACATATGGTCCGGTTTAGCAAAAAAACAAAAAAAGTGTGAATACTCCCACTTTTACAGATCCCTGGACCAGCAGTGTGCTCACTGTTTATGCTGGACGATAACTTGATGAAATACTAGTGTTTTGGTCAGTAGAAATGATAAACATAAAACCAAAAGAGAAGTTTCTCTTACCTTCAGTGGAGTTTGACAGCTTGATACATTTGGACATTTGCTTGGACTAACAAAGTTTACTTTTTTCCTGTGATGTCGATGTCAATGAATGGTTTGGAAAAGTGCTTTCAGCATCAGCCTCACAATGCATTTTCAATTTTATTTTTTTTTTTATTATTTTTAAATTTTATGTGTTCTTGTTTCCTTATCATGTAAATATAAATTAACATTTTATTACCAAATCCAGGCACTGGCCTACATTGGGGGAAAACAAGTTTAAACTGATGGAATAGAGTGAAAATGTCAAATATTATGAAATTGTAACATTGCATCATTTTAAACTATTATCACACACAGGATCGTTTTTTGTTTTTTTTAAGGAAGCGAATGAGACGGTATTTGGTGATATATAAAACAATGCAATAAATGAGTTTTGTTGCTCATCTTGGATCTACAAAAGACTCTTACTACTACAGCCTTGCAAGGGTTAAAATCTGACACTCAAAGGGTTTTTAAAATCCTGAAGGTGATTGAGTCTTTGGGAGTTTGTTTGCTATCAGGCCTGAACCTTATATCCATTCTGAAAAAATAGTTGAAAAGAAATAACAATAAAAAGCATCAATTCATAAGCTTCTTAACAGATTTCCAAAACATATTCCTGCAAAAATTAAGGATGCAAGCTTTTGCCTAAACAAACTAATTAAAAGAAAATGTACAAGAATACCTAAGAAAGAAAAAGAAAGAAAGGTAGTGGAGGAACGAATAATTAGTATTTTCATTGACCTCAGTGTCAGGGCAAAGACAAATGAGTTTTAACCTTTTAAGAAAACCAATTTTTCAAATTTGCTGCTAAACCACCAGACAGATTTGCTGTCTGCCTCCTGTTAGCTGTTTAATTGGACACTCTTGCTGAAAGACTCTGACACAGCTCATTTTATGCTAGAGTGACAACCATAAGGAGCATGCAAGCAGCTCTAAAAGGAACAACAAACAAACCACAAAAATCTCACATATTTTCACTGAAGAAGAATATTCCCACTGACAGCTGTTTGTTTGTTTTAAACTGGCCACCAGCAATGCCAAATTTTAACAAAGCTTTTTAATCTGGTGACTCTGAGTGAATAAATCTTGAGTTGAGTTACATCATGTCTTAGTTGTGGGCAAGGAAAGAATAATGATGGGACAGATTTTTTTCTGTTTCTTAGTTAATGTATGTCGTATTTTTCAGTTATGATGGTGACGGTATTGAAAACGGCACAGAGGCTATGATGGAGAAGTCCAAAACATGGAGTCGGTCTATAGAAGACCTGCACGGGGGAGGTACCCTGCCACCCCACCTCAACGGGAACGGCATCTCAAGATCTGGGCGACATTCCACATTACGGTACGACCGACATATCTACAATTTCCTACCTGATGGTGATAAATTATTTCCTTCACCACTCTTTGTTTTCAGTTTCTAACTGAAGCAGAGTATTTATTTTGAGAAGTCACACATTTCTTATGACTCCTCAGCTGCCTCTTTGTGTAGTCATGAGGTCTCTAAGGCTTTAAATGGCTTAAGACACATGCAGGGGGGGATCTTTGTGTCTGGGTTTTTATTTGTTTTTGGCTGGCCAGACTCATGATTATGACACATGATGACTGATAACTTTCCAGGCGACCCACTGGCTATATTTATGTGGGTCATTTTTTATTTTTTTTACTTAAAAACACCAAAATAACTCCTAATTCTCCGCACACAGGATTTCAGTCCGTTTTATTCATAAGGCCAGGTCATTATGTTCGGAAACACAAATCCAAGTCGTTCATGCGTTTTTGTTCTCTAATCCTCCTTGTCATGGCTTTATTCTTTCAGCGTAGAAGTCGTACTGACTTTTGTTGCCTCTAATCCTTAGCTTGAGGAGATTTACCTGAACACTTCGCACACAAAGAGAATTACTGAATCAAGGGCCACATGTGCTCTTAAGACCTTTGCACGGAAACAATTAGGCAATACCTAGTTTCTTCTGTTTAAATAAGAAAAACAATTAATATATGTGTATTAAAAGCAGGATATTTCTCTCTTAAACTCAATTTTTAACTATTTCAGTCTTAATCTGAGATTTTCAGTAATGATTGACAAGCACAGTGCTGCCTTGGAAAAGTTTTAATATAACTCTCTCTCGTCTATGTCATACCAATGAACCATCTGTCTATTTTATGTCTGTTAAAGTAAAAGGCCAACATAAAGATGTGAGCAAAAATGTAAAAAGTCTGCAGTCCATTTTTATTCAGCTCCCATGAGTCGATGTGTTGTGATTTCAGTCTTTTTGAAATGTGTCTACCGGTGTTACGCTTCCAGAGATGGACAGGTTTGAAAATTTTTTTCTCTTCCATATCAGCTCAGGATCAGTCGGATTCATTGGAGACAGGAGCGTTGCCTTGATGACTGGATTTAGGTCTTGACTTTTGTTGTAGGGGATGAATATAAATGCACAACCCATTTTTTATATTTTTGTTGTGTTATTTTCTTTCCTTATTGTCACTTTGTGTTGGTCTCTCACACACACCAAAAAAGCTAGTAAGAATAAACATAATAGCTTCATCTAAACCTCTATAGATTTGGAATCTATAAATAATGATTTCAGCATTTCTTTTCTTGTACATTTTTGTTTTAAATTTAGAAATGTGTTGTTTCTCTTCTCACTGCTCTGGATTCACTGTGTGAAAATGATCGCTGTCTTCAGCCATCTTGACTGTCTCTTCTGTTTTTGTCCCTGTTTTCATCAGTAGTCGTCTGCTCTTTTGTCCGCCACTCTTCAACAGCAGGCAGGTTCCCTGTTCCATCTTTAGACACACCCACACACTTTCCATTGACTTTCAACTATTTCACATTCATTTGTATGGTCTAATCCAGACCCTTACCTTAACATAACCTAAACACGATTCATCCCTTAGTCCAAGACCGAACCCCCAAGTCAAGCAGAGAACTTTTCCTTATGTAGACCAGTTGACTGTTCCCCACAAATACCTATAAAGTAGCATCTTATCAGAAATGTGGCTATGTCCCCACAAGGTAACAATTACATGGCCGCACTTCCACAATTGTGTCTTCCTATATTTAGTGAGCCCTTCTATTCCCTAACCCTGACAATAACCCTAACCAGTACCCTAAACAGTGCGTACCCAACCGTAACCTCAATATAAACTCAATTAGTCGTTAACCTGACCGTTAGCAAAGAAAGAAAGCATAGACTGGCTAAATTAGTATAAATGGTCCTCAATTTGACGTTGAAATTGTAAAAATTGTCCTCACAGTGATGCCAAAAGAGGAGCGCACACAAACACACACCAGAGCTCTATATACATTCCCAAACATCTTATAGCTGCCTGCTTTATTTGTCCTGCTTTCTCTGTCAGAGATGTGAATTATTTGTACTTCCAGCCTGTTCCTTTCTTCTGGTCCTCATTCTCCTGTTTCTGAGCTCTGCTTCCCTTGGAGTAAATGGTTTATTCTGCACTCATTGTTCTGTGCTGCTTGTGTTACATTCCTTTGCAGAACTTAGCCTAGATTCTCCACAGCAATAGAATGCACTTAGAAAACTTTCTGTGTTTTTGATGCATAAGACAGATGTTAACCTTTTGCTGTTGGCAGGCTTACATATATTTAAAGCATCTGTAACCAGTTTATTAAAGGCAAACTAAGTGATTTGTATTTGTTTTCTTCAAACTGCCTCCCGTAGGATGCCGGGTTCACTGAACTGTCCCAAGTGTTCTCAGATGAGACGGTATGTCTGAGGAATAAGGAGAAGGCTAGTAACATGTAGACACCTTAGTCCTGTATCCTCTAGCTTCTAGCTGTAGTTCCAGTGTTTTTCTGTAGATGCAGTTCAAACCAAGTTTTTGACCAATTTCTTATGTTCAAACTATTTCTTTCCTAGTTTGTTATTTAGCAAACAGCACAGACCTTCATGCTCAATTTGATGCATACTTAACAGCTATATGGTGCAGTAAAGTTACATGTTTTCTTTGTCATTGCCTACATTGGTATTGTTATTTGTCCGTCCATTCATCCATTTTTCGTCTCACTTATCCCAAGTGAGGTTGCGAGGGGTGCTGGTGCCTATCTACAGCTGTCTACAAGCGAGAGGCGGGGTACACCCTGAACAACAGGGCAACACAGAGACAAACAGGACAACCAACCATTTAAGCACACACTCACAACTAAGGAGAATTTGGAGTTAGTCATGTTAATGGACTGTGGGAGGAAGCCAGAGAATCCACACATGCTCAGGGAGAACATGCAAACTCCATGAAGAAAGACCCTGGGCCGGGAATCGAACCTGGAACCTTCTTGCTGCAAGGCAGCAGTGCTATCCACGGTCACCCCTGAGCAGCCATTGTTATTTGTCTTTCATAAAAAAAAGGCTGTGTAAAATGGAAGGATTTTAGGAGATTTATTTTCTCAGAAAATACATTATTAACCTTTCATTATTATTATTATTATTATAGTTTAGTATGTTTACTATATTTAGGGAGGGAAAAACTTAATTTAGGTATATTTTACAGAGAAAAATAGGACGACCAGATGTGTATCTGGTCGTCCTCTACGTGTGACACGCATCTTCCACTATGACTGCTTATATCATCATCTAAAGGAGCGGCAGTGCGCAAGCATCTCATTTTCCTCAATTTTTCTAAGGGGATTTTTTATTTTTATTTTTAAGCAATATTAGAAGCTGAAGATCGATATTATATTGAGCACCTGGAAATTGCGATATATTGTTGTTTTTTCCCACACCATTATTCCAGTTATTTTAAAATGTTTTTATCTAGACTGATCAAGCCTGATATTTTTGAGGGGAATTAAGTATTTTATGTTTGTCAAAAAAATTTAAAAAAGACTGATAAAAGTTTTCCTGTATATGGCATACCTTTACTCTGTTCTAAATTTGATTTTAATTCAGGTTTTCAGATTTCAGTCTTCAGTACAGTAAACCCTAGAGATATTCTGAACTATAGCTATTCGCTGCTTTCTTAAACATGACTTCAATCTGTTGCTGACTTCTTGGTTGCTCTGTAATCTACTGAAACTGTTGTTTTCTTTGCTGTGTTTATTTCATTTCTTCTCTACCTATGAGTCGTAGCATTGCTTAATAGAACAGAGATTAGTTGAAGCACAAAAGCTGAAATTAAGCAATTATTTGATCATTTCCTGTGAATGTATTCATCTTCCCTGGATTCCACTTAATCTCAGTTTAGGTTTTTAGTTCTTCGGAAAGTATTTATTTTAATTAGTTTGAGTTTATTTTTGGCAACTTGTTTTTATGTAGCTGTTAAGATTTGTTCTTACCACTTACACTGCATACCAGGAGTTTAATGTTTATCCAAACTTGCAGATGACCTGTTAACCTCCTTCTTTAAGAAATCCCCAATTTTGTACTAAGAGATTCTGCTGTGAGTCAGTGACGAGTCACACCTACAGTCTGACGGGAATCAGCATGTTCAGCAGTAGCCTAAAGGAATGTTTTTTTTTTTCTTTTTCTACAGGACATGGAATTGAAACTTGTGGAAATAGAAGTCATATAAACAGTTTTTCTTCAAGTGAATCAGTGCCTTCATTGCCACTTAAGTGTTCTTTTTTCCTCCTTTTTTTCCTTCTGACGTTGCACAGTCACAGTCCTGCATGCAAATGACCAGCTGCTATTATGTTAGCCGTGATTGATATGTAAGTGAAGGCCATCAGGGTAAAACAAAGCGGCCATCTTGTGGCCTCCGTGTGTGGCAGTAGATCATATAGCCTCTGTTTGTGCTGTTGTAAAATGGCTTGGCACTTTAACGGTCTCCCCGTTCGAATCGAGGTGCTGCGTTACCATACTCATTTAAAAAATAGCATCTGTTCTCCTGCTTAGCCAGGCTTTTCACACCCGTTTGTTCAGGAACACGAACTGACTTGACGGTCCATTTAGAAAGGCATGCAGTATTTCACTTTTCACTAACTTGTTTTGTCTTCACCTTTTTTCCTCTTTTTTTTTTTTTTATAGCTGCAGCACGCTGCCAAGCAGGAGAACGCTGAAAAACTCCAGACTCGTCTGCAAAAAGGACGACGTCCATGTCTGCATCATGTGCCTACGTGCCATCATGAACTATCAGGTAAGCTCTTCTTTTGACTACAGAGACTCTGACCTTTCAGACTAAATCACAACCATCCATCTAAAGCTAAATTCAATTTGCTCCCCTCCTATGCCTCCATGGCTTGTTTATCATGTTCAAGAATACTTAACGACTGCTCTGTTTTTAATGGCTTATCTGTCTCCATCTTATTTATGTTGCAGTATGGCTTCAATATGGTCATGTCGCACCCACATGCTGTGAATGAAATTGCACTAAGTCTGAATAATAAAAATCCACGGTAAGTTCAAGAAAGACGGCACACAAAACACAAGTAATTTACCTCTAAGAGGGGAACATTAATCTCTGTCCGGATCATTGCACAACATTAGAGTTTTATTAATTCTTAAATTCAGTAATTAATCAGATATATTGGTTTGGTGGCTTAAAGTATTTGCTCCTATACAGATGTTTCCCTGGTTTGTGATTTTTCTGTCATGCTTCAGGAAAGATGGATAATAAGAAGAGCGAATTAATTCTCTTGTGCCTTTCAAATATTATTATAGGTCAAATTTGTCCTTTTTTGCACTATCCTAAAGGTTGTTTAAAAGTCATTTGTTTTATTATTTGGGAAACTAGTGTTAATGTACCAGCTATGTAATTCTATACAAGAACATTTGTTCATCTGAGACTTGCCTGTCAGGAAAGGAGAAGGAAGTTAAAAAGCTCTGCTGGCAGCCTCTGGTGTATGTGCAGATGCATGAGCTCTCACATCACGCTAAAGGTCAACAGAGTGCCCCGAAAGGTTGATATGAAACCTTTTTTTTTTCTTTGCATCACATGTCTCAGTTCTCCTCGCCCAGACAAAAGAGCCAGACACCAGTGAAGTGAAAGTGCCTTGCAAAACTATCAACACCCTTTGAACCTTTCCACATGTTGGCATGTCACACCAACAAACTCTAGTGTATTTTATTGGATATTATGTGTTGGATCAATACTAAATAGTGCAAGTGGAAGGCAAAGGAAGGGATGCATTTTTAGTATTTTTATTTTTGCAATATTTAAAAAAATAAAGTCTTAAAAGTGCGTCGCTTATTTGTATTCAACCCCTGGGGGTCAGTTCTTTTAAACCACATAAATTGGAAATCTTTGCCGTTTGTTCTTTGCAAAATGGCTCCATTTGGTAGGTGAATGAAAATACAATTGAATGCCCTGGCATAAATTCTGCTTTAGATTTTTGGTATGAACTTTTAATGGGCCACTTTAACACATCAATATCCTTTATCTAATCCAGGGTTCTTTAAATTAAAGTATTTGGGGTATCTGCAGCCATTAGAATGGTCTTGTTTGGCCCCTTTTCTCTTTAAAAAACAGCAAATGATGATTCAATTAGTTAAACTTGACAAAGCTTTTTTTATTTTTTTTATTTAGTGACCTGAATCCTTTTTCAGTGGTTGAATATTGTCAAGAATGTATTCCAAATCAACAAAATAGAAAATAAATAAAATCAAGAAAAAAAGCTCTGTCATAATATTTTACTAAAAAAATATATCAAGTTACAATGCAGGTAAATATAAATAAATATACATATTTTTTTGCATTTTATATATGTATACAAAGTTTGGACACCTCTGATATAAGCCATTACATTGATGATATGGAAGCTTTATGTGGTTGATCTACATCTAGAAGGTGAACCTTCACCTCAGGTTCCATCTTTATTCTTTATCATTGTCCAAATTTGCCTCCATCTTTCTTCTCATTAACTCTGACCAGCTTTGCTCTTCTTGTTGAAGTAACTATCACCACATAATGATGCTGCCACCACAATCCAGATAACCTTGCAGTCATTTATAAAGGTTTTTATGATGTGTTCAGGGGGATATCAGAGTGTCGGTTTTCTGACACACACACATACTCTTTCCATTTCAGATGATGGATCTTGTGACCTAACTTCTAATGCAATAGGCTGCCCTCAATTTTATTTATGGTATCAGAAAAACGGTGCTGAATGCAAAATACTTTATTTTGCAGAAATAAATGGAAAGGAAAAAAACTGTTCAAGGCTATCATGATGCTTCAATAACATATATTTTTTTTTGACTTTCAAGTTCTCTCTGCTGACATTTGTAATTTTTTTTAATCTTCTTTTAACATGACTTTCTCTGTGGTTTCCAGAACCAAAGCTCTGGTTTTGGAGCTCCTGGCAGCAGTTTGTCTTGTGAGAGGAGGCCATGAAATTATTCTCTCTGCCTTCGACAACTTTAAGGAGGTATGACCTGCTTGGGACGGGCGTTTTTAAGGAGACCCCTCTGTCTTTACATTCTATGTCATTTCAAGCAGCCGCTGTGCCCCAGAGGAACACTTATCCGGCACCATTCTCTATAAGCGTTGCTTCAAAGAGATCACAGATACTGGTTTATGTGTGTAACACGGGATAACCCTCACAGCAATCAAAGAAAACTGTTTACATGTTAACAAAATTCATCAGGCGCATCAAAGCTCAGAAAAGCACAGCGGCAGATGTTCGAGATAGCCTCTCCTGACCTTTGGCTGTAAGGAGAAGTTCCTGACTGCGGGAGAGAGAATTCAGAGCTAAATGCAGCTTCAGTTTGCAGCGAACATCTTAAAAACATAGAGCGTGTGCAGTTTATATAATATTTACACATGTGAATGAAATATTGAGTGTTGCTCTCAGTGACTGTGGCATTAGTGGCAGAGCAGAGCTCAACTAATGAGCTGGAGGCTGAGAGATGTTCCCGATGGTATGAAACCGAAGCAGAATGGTCACAGATATTGCCATTTTATTTTGGGATTTTTAATAAAAGTCAGAGAAGTTAGCTTTATTTTGCTGGAGTTAATTTGCTGCTGCAGATGGAAGCTCGAGGTTTTTAAATAAACACGCCTCAATCTGCCTTTCCAGTGACCCCTCTGAACAGCCAAACTTCACTCTACTCAGTATTTCCATCTTTTTATACGGTAATTCAAGTTCCGTGATTAAAATGGGAATTTTGGCCCAGAAATACTATATTTATGGTATAACATTAGCCAAAAGAATGCAGTGTCAGCTTTTAGATAAGATAAAAGCAGGTATGTGTGTAAATAATTTATAAGAACAGTAATCACTTTCAAGACTGATTGGGGTATTTTTCCTGTTCAGTGAAAACAGAAGAATATTTAGCAGATGTATAATTGTTTTTTTTGTTTTTTTTAAAGCGTCATTTCCGGTGGTTTATATGATGCAGCTAAATCTGCTGAAATCTTTTTTTTTTTTTTCAGTTTAATGGGTTGATAACATTACCAATTTTTTCACCCTTTCACTTAACTGTATTGCTTGGCAGGTTTGCATGGAGACGCAGCGGTTTGAGAAGCTGATGGAATACTTCAAGAATGAGGACAATAACATTGACTTCATGGTGAGCTTATGCAGATGCAACAGTTTGGTTCCCTCGTACTGTTTGATCTACTCTTGGGAATCTGATCAGCCTCATTGGCTCTTGGACGGGGAAATCGATCAGAAAAATCCAAATGATTCGTCACTTCTTCTGCAAACAGCGTATAGGTTTTTTCTACCTTGTTAAATGCTACAGAACACAAACTAATGCACTTTGGCAAGACAAGATTTTGAAAACCATTGACAGCAAAAGTAACAGAATATTTTCCTTCACGAGAGATTTTCAGAATAACTAATGAAAAGTAATCATTAGTAATAACATATAATTATTGTTCTATAAATCTTTACCACCCTATTTGTTAAAGTATGAAAACATATAATTTTTTTATGTACTTAAATCAATTAAATTGTTCTTGTGACGTATGTATAATGTAAAGCATAAATCAAACCCTGACTCTAGGATCAGTGTATATATTATGCTGTTTAACTGACCTTCTGTTTGTTTTTATTTATTCTTCAGGTTGCATGTATGCAGTTTATCAACATTGTTGTGCACTCGGTGGAGGACATGAACTTTAGAGTTCACCTGCAGTATGACTTCACCAAGCTGGGCTTGGACGACTACTTGGATGTGAGTTCAGACTTCTGCTGAGCTCTCCTTGACTAAAGTTTACAGTTTAAGCTGCAGTCATGCACCCGTCAGACAAACTGTCAATCATATATATATATATATATATATATATATATATATATATATATGTATATATATATATATATATATGTATGTTTATAAAAGAAAATGTAAACTCAAAAAATCTAAAAACTTTAATGGATTTTAATCCCTGTTTTCCAGAAACTAAAGCACACAGAAAGCGATAAGCTCCAGGTTCAGATCCAGGCTTATTTGGATAACGTATTTGATGTAGGAGCGCTGTTGGAGGATGCAGAGACCAAAAATGCTGCCCTGGAGCGAGTGGAGGAGCTGGAGGAGAACATTTCACATGTGAGAACCCTCAATTGTCGATATTAGCACTCTGATCTTTTAAACAGACTTGCTCCATGATCCTATGTTAGAAAAAGGCTTAATGTTGTATTGTTTCCTGCTGCAGAAAACTGATGAGGACGTAGCTTGAAAAGAAAGCCCAAACTTTTCTAATAATGAAGACATAAACATGATAAATTCTTAAGGAATTAATTCGGGCAAGATGTTGTTTCTGCAACATGTTAATGTGGGACTTTTCCTGTTTATCACACTCACAGATGACGGAGAAGCTGCAGGACATGGAAAATGAAGCCATGGCCAAGATTGTGGAGCTGGAGAAGCAGCTGATGACCAGAAACAAGGAGCTTGAAGCCATCAAAGTCCGTTCTTGCATCAACTTCTTTTAACTTTTTAAGTCTTAATAATTTGTCGAAGAACATCAAATCTGTGCATCCGTTACTAGAGTTCCTTACACTTTGTTTGTTTCTCCCCCTGCAGGAAGTCTACAAAGATACCACCTCACAGATTCATACGCTGAGGCAGACGCTGAAGGAGAAGGACGAGGCCATCCAGCGACAGAGTAAACTGGAGAAGAAGATCCATGAGCTGGAGAAGCAGGGGACCATCCGGATCCAAAAGAAAGGAGACGGGGACATCTCCATCCTGCCTTCTTCTCCGCCTGGGATGGAGGGTTTGCCGGGTGCAGTGTTGGGAGCAAACAGTACGGCTGCCGTTCAGAACCATGCAGGAAGTCCAGCCGCTGCACCCCCACCACCTCCACCGCCTCCTCCACCACCTGTCCACGGGCAACGTAGGTTCTTAATGAAATCAGCCCGTGTGAAACACTGGGACATAGATGAGTAATAGTGAGGCAGAAAATTCAAGCTCTAGATTTTTGGCATTGCACGCATTTAGATTTAAGGCTACATAATTTTTTGTGTGTTTAAAAAAAAAAACATTTGTTCTCCTCAATTACTCCTAGTGCCAAATGGGCCATCGACAAAAACTCCAGCTGCCGCTGCCCCACCTCCCCCGCCGCCACCCCCACCTCCTCCACCTCCCCCCTTTGGGCTCCTTTCAGAGATATCTGCCCCATTGCCTCCTCCACCTCCTCCTATGGCCCCCCCTCTACCTGGATGTGGGACTCCCACTGTGATCATGAACTCAGGGCTGGCAGGTGAGATTGACCCTAAATTATTTTATGGTCTTCATCTTAATAAAGCAAAAAAAATAAATAAATAAATAAAATCACCTTCAAAGCTAAAATGGAACCAAAGCGTTGAATACCTTGTGTGCAAATACTGATGTAGATTTAAAGCTTGTTTCTTCATATTCAGGTATGTTTAAGACTTGAAAGTTGTTCCTAACTGATACATCCCACATTTGAACTGTGGGTGTGCTCCTCTAAAATGACGATAAGGGTTTGAATAAGCTCAGTGTCAAGACAAACCTGTAAGATCTGTACGTACATGTGGGTGTATTGTTGCTGCTATGTGTACTTGTGTACTATCTGGATGAGTTAGCTCTATTTTCTCAAGTCCTGTGTAAACACACACCTCCAACTGCAAAGGTTTCAAAATGTCTCATTGGTATGTGCTTCTTCAAACACTCTTACTAACTATGACAAATTTCCTATTTCTCTCTAAATCTTTTCCCGCAAACCAGAGGGACCCATCAAGCTTTTCTGTAGGTTCCTGCTGTTGAGTTCAGTGTCATTCCTTCCCTCTGACTTCTATACATCTATTCCCCTTTGGTTGGTTTTCCTTGGTTTTAAATGTGGTATCATTCATACTTTAAACCAGATCGTCTTGTTTTCTTGTTAGGTCACAGAGGAATTTGGATTATAAATATTGAGCATTATCAATAAAAAATCCTAGGTGCCTGGATATAGATAGCCCTTTAACCTTTTTACATGTTGTCAAATTACAACCACAAACATAAGTGTGTTTTTTTGGGGGGGGTTTAATTAATAGACCAATGTAGAGCACTGTATGATTTTGAAATTGAATAAAATGTTCACCCAATTGTTAACTGAGAAGTACAAACTGAGCTATTAGGGTAAAATATAGTAAACAAACAGTTTGGTGATACAGAACAAACATGAATTTTAGGGTGCTGTTGAAGCATGGTTGGGCAGCATTATGCTGTGGGGAAACTTTTATTTAGCTGGGAGTTCTGTTTGATGGAGGAAGCTACACATAAGGCAACAATGGAAGAAAGGTGCAACCATCCAGCTGGACAGCGACCCATAAAGTAAAGCCAGAGCCACAGTAGAGTGGTTTCAGTCAGAGTATGTTACTGTGAAGATATCCCAGTTAAAGCCCTGACTCAAAGCAAATTGACAGTATTTCTTCAAAACTGGGTTTCATAGATGCTCTTGGTACGATCAGAATGAATCTGAGCTGTTTTCCAAAAAATTTATGAGAAAACATTTCAGTCACCAGATGGCAGTGACACCTCTCATCAGCAGCTATAATTGGAGAAAAAGGTGTTTCCATAAAGTACAGATTTGGAGTGCTTCACATAAATAGACGGCCCACTTTCTGATTTTGTTTAACTATAAAAAAATGTTTTTAAAATGTTATATTCCTTCCAGAAACCTGATAAAACACTTAACATTTTGTGGTTGTAACATGATGATGTGTATATGGTCCCATCAGGACGTTATCTTATTACACATTACACAAAGAAGTAAATCTTTCAGAATAGGATCATACCACATTCAGAGCCTCTGCGTGGTTCACCCCTTACTCTTGCCTGTAGTGCTGTGTCATTGTTTGAGTGAAGTGTTAGTTTCTTAAAAACATGTTTGTTGCATGCAGAGGCACATTGATCTGGTTAAAGTGATAAGTCTGTACAACCGGAATGCTGTTTACCTTTCCCATGACAGCCTTATCTCTCGCTGTGTCTCTGCTGACACCTTGTCTGTACGCTGGTGCAGGGCGCCACCTCAACATTCAGGTTCAGTGGAGCAGCTCTGCTGGCTACAAATAGCTTTAATCTGCCCAATAAATAGTTTGGCCTCAGGGCAAGGAAGTAATCCTGGACCATTTGCACGAGTTAATAAACGGAAATAGCCAGGAAGGACAACTCAAATAATATTATTGATACAAAGCAGAGGTTTTAATTGAGGATATAGATGTCAATCAAATAAAATACCTTTAATCTCTGGTGTGATCAAACCTGAATCCGGTTGTATGTTTTTAGAGATCGGATGTTTTCAGTTCCAGAATCTATTTTTCCTGCATGTCAGTTGGTATGTTTGTTTGAACCTTTATAGTCCATGATGTAAATTTCTCTTTGTGTCATTCAGCTGTTAAGATCAAGAAACCTATCAAGACAAAGTTCCGCATGCCCGTCTTTAACTGGGTAGCCCTGAAACCAAACCAGATCAATGGGACCGTCTTCAACGAGATTGATGATGAGAGGATACTTGAGGTACCGGACCCACCCTCAGAACACGAGCTCTGATCCCACAAACTGTCCATCCTAATAAAAAAATCTAATCTTTTCTGCCTTTTAGGACCTAAATGTTGATGAGTTTGAGGAGATGTTTAAGACTAAAGCTCAGGGCCCACCCATCGACCTCACCATGAATAAACAGAAGGTCACTCATAAGGGGCCAAACAAGGTGACCCTGCTGGACTCCAACAGGGCGAAGAACCTGGCCATCACTCTGAGGAAAGTGAGCAAGACAAACGAGGAGATCTGCAAGGCCATTCAGTTGTAAGCCTCTCACTTTGTTGTTTTTTTTGATTGGTTGCTATCATTAAGCTAAGGTGATACCGCATCTGGCATCATAATCATATTAACGATCACAGCATTTTCATTTGTTTGAAATCAGACAGGCAGATCTAAAAAATCGGTAAAAAAATCAAATATTCTCAAAATATTAAATTCAACTCAAGCAAATGTACATCGTTGCTACAACACTCACGACTACTAAAGGACAAGCCACTGTTTTCTGGTCAAAATCTGTAAAAAATATTCCATTTTACAGAATTTAGGGCACTAGCATGCTTTATTTTTGGTCACCTACAATATTCTCTGTCTCCTTGTCTTCCAGATTCGACCTGCGGACTCTGCCGGTTGACTTTGTGGAGTGCCTGATGCGCTTCCAACCAACCGAGAACGAGATCAAAGTCCTGCGGCAGTTCGAGAAGGAGCGGAAGCCTCTGGAGAGCTTGACTGACGAGGACCGCTTCATGATGCAGTTCAGCAAGATCGAGCGGCTCATGCAGAAGATGACCATTATGGCCTTCATCGGAAACTTCAGCGAAAGCGTGCAGATGCTCACGCCGGTGATTAAGACGGCCTCGTACTTGATCTCTGTATTTTATGATGCTGTGGAGTCCAAAAATTGACGTGTCAAAATGTTTGCTTGTCTTTAGCAACTGCATGCTGTCATCGCAGCGTCTGTGTCCATCAAGTCATCACAGAAGTTAAAGAAGATTTTAGAGGTAGCTGGATTTTTTTTTTTTCTATTAAAAAACCTTAATGTCCTTTTCTTCTGTATAGTTTCTGATCCCTATTTACTCATTCTGCAGATTATTTTGGCACTTGGAAACTACATGAACAGCAGCAAACGAGGAGCAGTGTACGGGTTCAAGCTGCAGAGTTTAGATTTGGTGAGTTGGTTTTGAAGGCAGTTAAAACCAATCTTCCATTTTTCCTCCTCTGAAACATTTTTTTTATTGTATTTTCTTTTAGCTGCTTGATACCAAGTCTACAGACCGCAAAATAACGTTGCTGCACTACATTGCCAACGTGGTCAAAGAGAAATACCCACAAGTGTCTCTCTTTCACAATGAATTGCACTATGTTGAAAAAGCAGCTGCAGGTAAGCAAACACTTTATCTGTAAGGCAAATATTATCATTCTCCATATTGTGACATATTATAACACTCCCTGTGTTCTTGTAGTGTCTCTAGAGAACGTCCTGCTGGACGTCAAGGAGCTGCAGAGAGGCATGGAGCTGACCAGGAGAGAGTACAGCATGCATGGTCACAACACCATGCTGAAGGACTTTATCACACACAATGAGGGGAAGCTGAAAAAGCTGCAGGATGATGCTAAGATTGCACAGGTAGCGTGGAATAACAGAAACCCACTTTGCTCTCAGTGATACTCTAAATATTGAATCACTAACTTGTTGTTTTCCCCCTCTCTTTAAAAAAAAAAAAAAAAAAAGGATGCCTTTGATGAGGCTGTGAAATTCTTCGGGGAGAACTCTAAAACAACTCCGCCGTCTGTTTTCTTCCCGGTGTTTGTGCGGTTTGTGAAGGCGTACAGGGTGAGTTGATTGCACGCCTTCTCTTGCAAAGCATTCACACTTTGGGCCTTCAGTTACTAACCTCATTGTGATATTTAGGGCTTATATCTTGTAGATTAACTTGTTTTTAAAGTGGATGGATTAGGATGCTTTTTTGTTTTTGTTTTTGACTATTAAAATCTGAAAATGTATGCATTTCTATTCAGGTCCCTTAACTCTGATAACTCCAAATAAAATCCAGCCAAACCAATTAGCTTCAGAAACATGAGCCCGGAGGCGTTCAATGTCATATCAGTGTGGATGCATATATTTTTTTGTGATCAAATCCACATTAGTGAACAAATGACATCACAAAGAAAAAAAAAAAGACAGAAAACAGCAACAAGGATAGATGGAGATGTTTATGAGAATTATATTAGAAAGCATTTTATGATTTGAAGTATTGAAACTGAGTGTTCTTGAGAAAAGATGTCAATGGTTGAGGAATTGCAGTCCTCCACAGCTCAGGTGGGAGAATTAGCTAATAGGACAAGATGACGATAAGGAGAGAGCCAAGAAAAGCCCCGATAGCAGTTTTCCACAAATGCTGAAATGCGTGTTAAAGTAGGATAGCAGTGGCAACTTTGTGTTGTTGGTCTAATTTTCTCCAATAATGTGAGGAAACCGATTAAAATTTCTGGTAAGATGGGTTGAGACAATTTTTTGGCAAAGATGCACCTTCTAGCATACAATCTGAGCTACACGAAATGGTTAAGATCAAAACAGACTTATCCGAGGCAATCTGAGCCATTTGATCTTATTTTTGAATATACCACTATGTAGATGTGAGAAGCTGGTAGAGACATTCTCTAAATGGCCAGGCAGGTAGAGCTGCAGGTAAAGATGCTTCTACAGAGACTGATTAGGCTCAGAATAAATGCAGAATAAATGCAGGCCTCTCTCTTGATGTCCATTTGTGAGAAAATGGAAATGGAAACAAAACACGTTTAACTTATTCTTTAATTTCACAAGTTATATACTAATTTGTTTTAATGGGTCACAGGAAACCCTAATAATATGCAGAATATGTTAAGGTTAGGGCTGCTCAGTGGCGCAGTGGTTAGCACTGCTGCCTTGCAGCAAGAAGGTTCTGGGTTCAATTCCTGGCCCAGGGTCTTTCTGCATGGAGTTTGCATGTTCTCCCTGGGCATGCGTGGGTTCTCTCCGGGTACTCCGGCTTCCTCCCACGGTCCAAAAAACATGACTGTTAGGTTAATTGGCTTCTCTAAATTGTCCTTAGGTGTGAGTGTGTGTGTGAATGGTTGTTTGTCCTGTGTGTCTCTGTGTTGCCCTGCGATGGACTGGCAACCTGTCCAGGGTGTACCCCGCCTCTCGCCCATTGACTGCTGGAGATAGGCACCAGCACCCCTCGCGACCCCAATTGGGACAAGCGTGTAAGATAATGGATGGATGGATGGATGTTAAGGTTAAACTTTTTCACATGGCAGAATGTGAAAAAGTTTAAGGTCTATTATTCTTTAACAAAGATGAAAACCTTATAAAAAGAAATATGAAATAACACACACAAGGTCATGTATTTTTTTCTAATAAAGCTTGGGAAAAGTGCAATTGGGAGAGCTCAGTTATACAAGTAGGATCAAGATGCCTTTAATAAAGAAATTACTGGAAAAGGCATTAAAAATGTCTTTGTACAGGTGTGTTAGTGGATTTACTCTGCAGATCTTTGCTTCAGGTTTAATTTTGTTTTCCTTAATCAGTCACTCTGAAGTGAAATTTTATCTGTTTTAGGACAAGGTGTGACCTTTTAATCACCATTTCTAATAATAAATAATCTTTTGCTTCCCAGCAAGCAGAGGAGGACAACGAGCAGAAGAAGAGGCAGGAGCAGCTCATGATGGAGAAACTTCTAGAACAAGAGGCCATGATGGAGGAAGACCAGAAGGTTGGTTACTTTTTGTATTCACTCTCCCCTGAGGAATTAGCAGTTACCAGAAGGAAATCCAGATCCACTTCTCTCCATTCCGCTCCATCCTCTCCTCCCCGAGACTCTTGTTTGGAGGATTAGTTGAGCGCGGGCTGCTTGCTGTGCTAGCTTGTATTTAGGACATACAGAAAGATTCCCTGCTGAGGAACATCACTCAGAATCAGTGATTATTTAATTAACTTGCACGGATCCTAAGGATGAAGGGATGTGATGCAGGAGAAAAAGACTGTTGGTGATTACCTCATAAATTGATGTAAAAATGTGGGAAAAAAGCAAATATGTCTCAATGTAAATTATTTGCCCTAAATTTGAGCAGGTAAATAAATATAATGATCTGCCAATATGAGTTTTTTTCCCCCTTAAAACAGGATATATTATGTGCTTAAAAATATTCCGTGGCAATTCTTACTTGCATTCTCAAATCATGGAAATATTCATGCATTTTAAGAAAAATTTACTTAAATTTACATTTTTGCAGAGTGAAATTTGTCTATTTAATAGATTTTTATGGGCGCCTTTCAAGAGGTCACATTACAAAACACTACAATAAAATCAGTAAATCAAATTTACATTACAGAGATTTTAAAAATATATACCAGAAGCATAGGAAAACAAAAAAAAGAACCATCTGGCTTTGTAGGCTAAGAAAGTGTTTTAAAACTGGACTTAGATGTAGAGAAGAATCAATCAGATCATACAGACTGATTGTTTAAAGGTTTCTATCTAAGGAAACTCAGCTGATTAGCAGGACTCACTCCTGGATGAGCATCTGGAGAGTTGTGCATCGAGTTGTTGACCTTCAGCAACCTCTTACACAAAGCAAATATGCAGTGGGGATAAACCTTTATCAGGGACCAGGCTCAGTGGCTTTTCCTTTCTTTTCTGTGTGCTCCTCAGTCTCCCTCCCATAAAAGCAAGCGGCAACAACAAGAGCTCATCCAGGAGCTTAGGAGGAAGCAGGTGAAGGACAGCCGTCACGTCTACGAGGGAAAAGACGGCGCCATCGAGGACATCATCACGGGTAGCGTCACCAGATCCAGTCTACAAACTGCAGCCATACACTCAATCACATCCTTTATACTCTGCATGAAGGTTCACCTCAGCTTTAAAAAGGGTTTCTAAGCTAACTAACACAATGATTCCAGCAAAATAAAGCAGCTGTTTCAGTGCTTCCAGAGTGAAAGGTACCTGTTGCTCATGGCTTATCTTCTTCGCCTTTGCTTTGTAACACCATCTTTATTGTACGTGCAGGGCCAGCATCTGACTGTCTCTGGATGTCAGTCAGTCGAAACAAGAAAATAAATGTCCTTTTCTTCCATAACAAGGGGAGAGAAACTTCCTGTAAAATGTGATGAGCAATCAGCAGTTCGCTTCTTCATTATATTTATAAGGCAACATAATGTAGTTTTTCCCCCATTTTGATATTTCGTTATTTTTTTTAATAAAAAGATGCACAAATCAATCAGCTGCAGTTAAATACAATTGCTATAAATACACTGCTCAAAAAAATAAAGGGATCACATAAACAGCGCAATACAACTTCAATTAAATCCACATTTTAGCAAACTGTCCACTCAGGAAGCAGCATTGACCGGCAATCATTTTCACATGCTTTTGTGCAAATGGAAAAGACAATCGACAGTCAATTATTGGCAATTAGCAAGACACACTCAATAAGGAAGTGGTTCTGCATGTGGGGACCACAAACCACTTCTCAGTACCTATGCTTTCTGGCTCATGTTTTGGTTACTTTTGAATGTTGCTCATGCTTTCACACTTGTGGTAGTATGAGACGGACTTTACAACTCACACAAGTGGCTCAGGTAGACCAGCTCATTCAGGCCACATCAATGCGTGTTGTGGCAACAAAGTTTGCTGTGTCTGTCAGCGTAGCGTTCAGAGGATGGAGCCGCTACTCGGAGACGGGCCATTACACCAGGAGAAATAGAGGAGTCCGTAGGAGTGCTACAACCTAGCAGTAGGACCACTACCTTCGCCTTCATGCAAGGATGAACAGGAGGAGCACTGCCAAAGCACCTCCAGCAGGCCACAATGTGCACTTCTGTGCAAACGGTTAGAAACCAACTCCATGATCATGCTATGAAGGGCCAGGTTCACACTGAGCACATGTGACAGACATGACAGAGTCTGGAGATACTGTGGAGAGCGATCTGCTGCCTGCAACATCCTTCAGAATGACCAGTTGGTCAGTAATGGTGTGGGGTGGCATTTCTTTGGAGGGCTGCACAGTTCCCTATGCGGTCCCCAGAGGTAGCATGACTGCTATTAGATACAGAGATGAGATCCTCAGACCCCTTGTGAGACCATATGCTGGTGCGGCTGGCCCTGAGTTCCTCCTAATGCAGAAGAATGCTGGATCTCATGTGGCTGGATTGTGTCGGCAAAGATGAAGGCATTGAAGCTATGGCCTGTTCCCCAGACCTGAATCTGATTGAGCACATCTGGGACATTGTGTCTCAATCAAACCAGAGACGTCACATTGCACCAGAGACTATCCAGGAGTTGGGAGATGCTTTAGGCCAGGTCTGGGAGGACATGCCTCAGGAGACCTTCCACCACCTCATCAGGATAGGAACATATAGGCATGTGGAGGCCACACACAATACTGAGCCTCATTTTGAGCTGTTTTAAAGGACATTACATCAAAGTTCGATCAGCCTGTATTGTTTTTTTCTACCTATATTTTATGTGCAACTCCAAATCCAGGCCTACATTGTTTTATTAATTTGATTTCCATTTATTATTTTCATATTTCATTCATTTAGATCTAGGATGTGTTATTTGAGTGTTCCCTTTATTTTTCTGAGCAGTGTATAATATGTCATTACACAAGATCTCTCAAGTATTTGCTAAGATGTCTGTTTATATATGTTAACACAACTCTATACTCATTTCTTTTGTTTATGGGTCTGGTATTAGACTTTAGTCTTTCACATCTAAGAGTTAAGTAATTCCTAATTGTTTCTTCTAGAAATGATTTGCTACTAGACTAGAAATAAATCAAAGAACATTTCATATGTTTTTTTATGATGTTTGAGGTTTAAGATGATAATGGGGTAAAAACGGGGTTTTAGGATTAGCATCCAAACATTTCTCCAGGGGTCCTGTTGCTGCAGTGGGGTACCTGCTTACTGCTAACCGTTGCTAAATCCTGTAGAGAAGACCTGCTTTTCTCATATTGTGTTTGTCCTGTTTTGTGTCTTGGCTGTTCTCCCTGTCGTTCTCGATGCAGTGCTGAAGACCGTGCCCTTTACCGCCCGCACAGCCAAGCGCGGCTCTCGGTTCTTCTGTGAGCCCGCTCTCAATGAGGAGTACCATTACTAAAGCTTGTAGATCTCTGTCTCTTCTTAAAGGTTGCTGGAACAAAACGTTCTCTTCTTTATATATTTTTTTCCTGCATGCATGCCTCTTCACAACCCCCCTTTAACCCTTTATACTGTGGACACTGGTTTTCTCAGGGACACACACGTCAAATCCTCACTGTGTGTTGTGTGCTTTTTTTTTTTTTAGTCCTTAAGCATGATGGTGTGTTTTTAGAAATGTTTTCTCAGCCCGCCTGCATGAAGCGTGACGTCCACAACTTTTCACCATCATTTTGACCCACCTCAGCAGAGCATAATGTCACAGAAAGATCCGCCTTCCAAGGAGGAAACTTTTCCCCCAATGTAGCATCAACAATGCCAGGCTGAGTACTGCCACCTGGTGGCCATCCATCTAACATGGTCAGCAAGCTGCAGCTCAGCTAGCCACATTCAATACCACACACAGTCTGTTTAAATATACACCTCAGGTATGACTAATATTGTATCTAGTGCCTGTGGCATTATCACTTGCTTGTTTGATTTACAATGTTTTGAAAGATAAAATCATAATGTTTGTGTTCATTTATCACATGTCATCACCACTAGTGATACTGATTGTTGCACGCTGCTTGCTTTAACTTTTCTGCTTTCCCACAATGCACTTTTGCTCTTCTAGCTGATATTTGCACTGCTCTTGCTCCTGACTGTTATTTTTTTCTGTCTGAAGGCTGCTTTGCTCTTACTGTGCCTTGCAAAAGAATTCACAAAGCCTGATTTAAAGTCTGACTAAACAATTTTGCTCTTATAAACACAAACTTAACTGTTTTGGATGGGTGTGTAATAGACTAAAGTGAGGAAGAATATAATTTTGAAGTGGAATGAAAATTATTTATTTTCTTGCAAGCCGTTAGGATGGTGATTTTGGGATATTTGCAGTCTGTTTTCTGCCAGTCAACTTTGAAATATTAGGAACAAAGAGTGAAAGAAGATCCTTTGGTTAATAAAGACAAAAAAAAGCATTTTTCTTATAAGCAAACAGCAAATGGGACTCATATGTCTTACTTTTAATGATTTTTTTCTCAACTCGTCAATAATAAAATCCACTTCACAATTATGCATATTATTTTGGTCTATTGCACCAGAAAATCCCACAAAAATAAGTTTGCAGGTAGTAATATGAACATTTCATTTACTAAGACTTTTGCAAGCCACTGTATTTGCTGCATGACGTTCCATTACTGCTGTCTGATTGAGCTAACGGTCATGCAGCCGGGTTCTGTGCACGTTCATTTCTATTAGTGAGTGTATCCTGGGTGGTTGCATGCTTTGGTCGGTTTATGGTGATGGTTCTGCTGAATATAACAATTCTGCTGTGTGTTTGGGTCCATGCTTTTTTTAATTTTTTTATTTATTTACAGTCACTCCTAACTGGAGGTTTGAAATGGGCTTGTCTCCTGATACGCTGGTAGCCACTTTGCTAAAGCAGTTTGGGTCTAGTAACAGAAACAAAACAGGCCTCTATTATTCTATGCAGTTGAGCCAGTTAACATCCTCCAGCTCTGTCCTTTCTGAGCCTCTCCTGTCCGCTCCGCTGTCGCAGTTCTCCAAAGCGATCATGTCGAGCTGACATGCACCAGTCAGCCCGCATCTTCCTCTTATTTTTAACCTTCATTTTGTCTTTTCTTCATCCAGAACTAAAGAAGAATAATATTACTAAATTTCCAAATGTCCCCTTGAGGGTAAGGAAGTCCTCCAGTAGCACTCCTGTAGTGGTGGATGTGTCCCAAACCTGGCAAGCATTTCTTTATTATCTCCCTTCTTGTATCGATTTTATTTGTTCAGGTTCCTCTTTATCTTTTTACCCTGATTATTTGAAAATCTTGCTTCCTTTAGTTGTTTCTTCTATCTTTAAATAAAGTTATATGCATCTTGGGTTCACAAGATGCATGAGACGTTTCTGGATTCATGCAGAGGTTTACTGTAAAAAGCCATCTCAGTCAGACTTGTTTTTATTCTGTGTGCTTAGATCTCATGCTGCTTTGAAAAGTTAGGCTACCAGCACTCCTGAATGTGTGGGCTCATTACAGAAAAACAAAGCACTGACATACGGTACGCTGACTTTAAGCTCTCCTGTCCCATCCCCTCTTCCTCCTACTTCTCCCAGATTTGAGGAATCAACCTTACAGACGAGCCGACGCCGTGCGGAGGAGCGTCAGGAGGCGCTTCGACGATCAGAACCTGCGGCCGGTGAATAACGGAGAAGTGGTCGTGTAACAAGCGAGGACAGAGGATGTGCAGGAGAGGATGGGAGGAGAGGAGCGTGGAAAGATGGGTTGAAAGAAAGTCTGACGCAGAACGAAGGATATCGAGTGTTTGTAGCAAATAAGAGGACTATATATACCGTAATGTCAAACAATGAAGGACTGAGATGTGTTTGGGACTGAATCTAACATAGAAATCAAGTCAAGTGCCTGAACCTTTTTGTTTTGTGATTTTTTTTTTCTTCTGTTTGAATATTTTAATTAACCCCACTTAAAGCAATAAGACTTGAGCTGACTTTAATGTAAACGAGATGTTAAACTGGACATGCAGAGGCCTTAGGAGCCATGTGAAATAATGTTACTCTGGAAAAGCTAGTCTGGAATGTACGGGAAGTTTTCCCCCTTTTCGCTGTTTTTTTTTTTAATTTTATTTCATTTTATTTAAATAACTTCTGACACATTCCTGTGCTCTCATTCATTCCTCAAACCTTTTTTTTTTATCATCTCATTCTTATTTTTAAAAACCAGGGGTGAACTGGCATGAAGAAAGTACCAAAACTAAAACTCTATATTTGTACTAAAATATGTGTAAAAAGAAAAAATAGACCACTCTAATGTGAACTGTATTTATTGCAGACATTTCCATACTTTTTTACAGTGTCCTGCTAAAGCATTTAAACTGCTTCCATTTTTTAACCCAGAACCCATCTTTTACGTATTTCAATGGTATGTTATGCAATAGTGGTGCATCATTGTGAACTGAAATGACAGTGAAGCTGGGTTTAAAAGACCAAGAAAAAAAAAAAAAATCATAAATCCTAATGTGTGGCAGTCATGTTACAGTTGCAAGACTTTTTAATAATCTTTTCGCAGGGTTTGAAAAAAAAGAATAAAAAAATCCCCCCACAGCATGATGCTGCCACCACTATGTTTAGCAGGAGAGATGGTCTGTTTAGTTTTCTCGCACAATTCTCCAAAATGTATTATTAAAAATATATAAAAAAAAAAATATGAATCAGTTTCCTTCAGATTCATAACTTCAAAATGGGATAGAAACACTTTTGCAAAGCTTCTGTCACATCTAACATTAAAAGATGGGTTGAATCTGATTTGGCTTACCTGGATTTAGATATAGTATGTGCTTTATTTTTAAATTCACAGCCTTTTATGTAGTTCCGGGAACAATTTACGACAACTAAACAAGCCTGTGAAGCTCATTAAACATTTTCTCAGGAGTTAAGACTCCACCCCAATGGCTCTTGTAATACTTGACATAACTGAGCATTAGTTGCTACTGTCTTTTCTTTACTGTATTTTGTTATGTATAGTATTTAACCACTGAAACAAAACTTTGAAGCGTTTCATCTCGTGTGTCCGTCATCGTTAAAGGTGTGACAACACAAAAGGGTTCCTGTACAGATATTTTTCTACAGTTTCTTTTTTTAATTTCCATTGTCAGATGGGTTATATTGTACATATTGTTAAAACAAGTATTCTTTGCCTTGTGATATACAACTTGAATGTTCTTTTAACTTATAGTTTTTTTGTTTTTGTTTTTTTCTTTTTCAGTTTTTGTTTATTTAAATAAGCCAAATGCAGGCAGAAATTCTCAGTAGTGTGTTTAATCAGAATACTTCAAGCTAACAGGATGCAGAGTTGGTACTTTGGCTGCAGGTGGATCACATATAGCTAAATACTCTGGTAGAGAAGTATTAACACGTGTCAGCTTAGCAGCCACTAACCAATCAAAGTCTTATTTGGCCTGTAATTACTTCTCCGTAAGTGATGATGCCTCCTGCTAAAGATGGCGTCATTCTGCTTGTTTCATATCAGCTTCATTGTAATTAGATGATGCTTCCAACTGGGTAAATCTGGCATTTTAATTCTCCACTCACAATGGATCTATTTTAGATAGTTTATCAGCTCTAAATACCCTTTTTTTTTAAATAGGTGATATGAGATTTTAGAAATATATAATAAACTATTTACACTGAATAAAGCACTTTGTGTTTGTCTTTTTCAACTTCTCAATCCAAAATTGTAAAAGAAAAAAAAGTGCATTTTCAGAAGGGGGGATGGCGTAGGTTTGATTTCAACTTTGGTAGGGACACTATTGGTGCTAAGTTTCATCGGTCTGATGTCATCGGTCCTTTGCCAAAATTATGCGTGCTCTTTTTTTTTTTTAAGCTTGACATGAGCATCAGGGTGCATATCGTTTAAAGAGAAAAGCAGCATTTCTCGCTACGTGTATACAAATTGCACTACAAACAAACAAAAAGCACTACACACACTAGATGCTGTTTATCAACGTTTGAAGCATCACCAGCTCTGATGAATGTAGAATTATGACTTTTCTCCACTTTGAAAAGAGTTGCTTTTGAACTTATCAGCGACTAAGAGGGCAAATAAGTGCCTATTTAACCAATTATAGTCTAAATATGTCTGTTATATGTGTTTTTCTCCTGTATTTTCTTTTAAAGATATAGAATTGTGCAGAGGTCAAACCCACTCTTTGAAACAAAGTTAAATACATTCAAGGGACGGCAAATAAATGTATTGTATTTACATGTGCATGGGAATTAAAAAGAGGAACTGACACCGAGCATTTAGAATACTAACTTTACTATAGAAGTTATACAGGTGCTGGTCATAAAATTAGAATATCATGAAAAAGTAGATTGATTTCAGTAATTCCATTTAAAAAGTGAAACTTGTATATTATATTCATACATTACATACAAACTCATATATTTTAGATGTTTATTTTGTTTAATTTTGATGATTACAAATGACAACAAATGAAAATCTCAAATTCATCATATCAGAAAATTAGAATATTGTGAAAAGGTTCAAAATTGATGGCCCCTGGTGCCACACTCTAATCAGCTAATTAACTCAAACCACCTGCAAAAGCCTTTAAATGGTCTTTCAGTCTAGTTCTATAGGCTACACAATCATGGGGAAGACTGCTGACTTGTCAGTTGTCCAAAAGACGACCATCGACACCTTGCACAAGGAGGGCAAGACACAAAAGGTCATCGCTAAAGAGGCTGGCTGTTCACAGAGCTCAGTGTCCAAGCACATTAATAGAGAGGCGAGGGGAAGGAAAAGATGTGGTCGAAAAAAGTGTACAAGCAAGAGAGATAACCGCACCCTGGAGAGGATTGTGAAACAAAACCCCTTCAAAAATGTGGGGGAGATTCACAAAGAGTGGACTGCAGCTGGAGTGAGTGCTTCAAGAACCACCACACACAGACGTATGAAAGACATGGGTTTCTGCTGTCGCATTCCTTGTGTCAAGCCACTCTTGAACCACAGACAGCGTCAGAAGCGTCTTGCCTGGGCTAAAGAGAAACAGGACTGGACTGCTGGTGAGTGGTCCAAAGTCATGTTCTCTGATGAAAGTAAATTTTGCATTTCCTTTGGAAATCAAGGTCCCAGAGTCTGGAGGAAAAGAAGAGAGGCACTTCATCCACGTTACTTGAAGTCCAGTGTAAAGTTTCCACAGTCAGTGATGGTTTGGGGTGCCATGTCATCTGCTGGTGTTGGTCCATTGTGTTTTCTGAGGTCCAGGGTCAACGCAGCCACATACCAGGAAGTTTTAGAGCACTTCATGCTTCCTGCAGCTGACCAACTTTTTGGAGATGCAGATTTCATTTTCCAACAGGACTTGGCACCTGCACACAGTTCCAAAGCTACCAGTACCTGGTTGAAGGACCATGGTATCCCTGTTCTTAATTGGCCAGCAAACTCTCCTGACCTTAACCCCATAGAAAATCTATGGGGTATTGTGAAGAAGAAGATGCAATACACCAGACCCAACAATTCAGAAGAGCTAAAAGCCACTATTAGAGCAACCTGGGCTATCATAACACCTGAGCAGTGCCACAGACTGATCGACTCCATGCCACGCCGCATTGCTGCAGTAATACAGGCCAAAGGAGGCCCAACTAAATACTGAGTGCTGTACATGCTCATACTTTTCATGTTCATACTTTTCAGTTGGCCAACATTTCTATAAATCCTTTGTTTTTATTGGTCTTCAGTAATATTCTAATTTTCTGATATGATGAATTTGAGATTTTCATTTGTTGTCATTTGTAATCATCAAAATTAAACAAAATAAACATCTGAAATATATGAGTTTGTATGTAATGTATGAATATAATATACAAGTTTCACTTTTTAAATGGAATTACTGAAATCAATCTACTTTTTCATGATATTCTAATTTTATGACCAGCACCTGTATATACTCAAGCCAATTAACCTCATGTTTTTGGACTGTGGGAGGAAGCCGGAGTACCTGGAGAAATCCCACATATGCTCAGGGAGAACATACAAACCCCATACAGACAGACCCCGGGCCGGGAAACGAACCCGCAACCGTCTTGCTGCTCCCAACTTTGTGGAAACAGTTTGAAGCTGACCCTTTCCTCTTCCAACACAACGTCTCTGGAAGAATGGTCAAAAATTCCCATAAACACCCTCCTAAACACAGCGGACCGCCTTCCAAGAAGAGTTGAAGCTGTTCTAGGTGCAAAGGATGGATCAGCATCATACTGAACCTCTATGGATTAAGAATGGGATGTCACAAGCTAATATATGAGCCAAGGCAGTGATTACTTTTGGCAAAATATATACAGGTGCTGGTCATAAAATTAGAATATCATGAAAAAGTAGATTGATTTCAGTAATTCCATTTAAAAAGTGAAACTTGTATATTATATTCATACATTACATACAAACTCATATATTTCAGATGTTTATTTTGTTTAATTTTGATGATTACAAATGACAACAAATGAAAATCTCAAATTCATCATATCAGAAAATTAGAATATTACTGAAGACCAATAAAAACAAAGGATTTATAGAAATGTTGGCCAACTGAAAAGTATGAACATGAAAAGTATGAGCATGTACAGCACTCAGTATTTAGTTGGGCCTCCTTTGGCCTGTATTACTGCAGCAATGCGGCGTGGCATGGAGTCGATCAGTCTGTGGCACTGCTCAGGTGTTATGATAGCCCAGGTTGCTCTAATAGTGGCTTTTAGCTCTCCTGAATTGTTGGGTCTGGTGTATTGCATCTTCTTCTTCACAATACCCCATAGATTTTCTATGGGGTTAAGGTCAGGAGAGTTTGCTGGCCAATTAAGAACAGGGATACCATGGTCCTTCAACCAGGTACTGGTAGCTTTGGCACTGTGTGCAGGTGCCAAGTCCTGTTGGAAAATGAAATCTGCATCTCCAAAAAGTTGGTCAGCTGCAGGAAGCATGAAGTGCTCTAAAACTTCCTGGTATGTGGCTGCGTTGACCCTGGACCTCAGAAAACACAATGGACCAACACCAGCAGATGACATGGCACCCCAAACCATCACTGACTGTGGAAACTTTACACTGGACTTCAAGCAACGTGGATGAAGTGCCTCTCTTCTTTTCCTCCAGACTCTGGGACCTTGATTTCCAAAGGAAATGCAAAATTTACTTTCATCAGAGAACATGACTTTGGACCACTCACCAGCAGTCCAGTCCTGTTTCTCTTTAGCCCAGGCAAGACGCTTCTGACGCTGTCTGTGGTTCAAGAGTGGCTTGACACAAGGAATGCGACAGCAGAAACCCATGTCTTTCATACGTCTGTGTGTGGTGGTTCTTGAAGCACTCACTCCAGCTGCAGTCCACTCTTTGTGAATCTCCCCCACATTTTTGAATGGGTTTTGTTTCACAATCCTCTCCAGGGTGCGGTTATCTCTCTTGCTTGTACACTTTTTTCGACCACATCTTTACCTTCCCTTCGCCTCTCTATTAATGTGCTTGGACACTGAGCTCTGTGAACAGCCAGCCTCTTTAGCGATGACCTTTTGTGTCTTGCCCTCCTTGTGCAAGGTGTCGATGGTCGTCTTTTGGACAACTGTCAAGTCAGCAGTCTTCCCCATGATTGTGTAGCCTATAGAACTAGACT